TTCTTTACCCCAGACCAGGGTGAACGGCTCTTCCTCCAACAGCAACTTTGAAGAGACGACCAAACCTGCGTTCGTCAGGCAGAGCTCCAGGACTATATCTTTCAGGGTAAGCACATCCAACACATGCACACACACTCCCTGCTAAATGCCAGCATTAACTTTTGCCTATTTGACTGTTAAAACACGATTTAATCTCACATCAGCTGTTCGACTATCAGTTCAGGGTCATTTGCTTGCGCCACTTAAGCTTCAGCCTTACAGCCGAAGCAATATTTATCAGCCTTTAACTGCTGACTGGTTGCTTTGTTAACACTGATGTATCACAGACGGGACAACCGCGCTGGTCATTAGCTGCTGATGTTTGGACGACTGTAAGGTCTGCTAGCACATATTCATATATGTTCGGTTTTACACAGATGATGAGGAAGAAAGAAGAGGAGAGTGCGCCGCTGCAGAGGAGGTAAGGAAACATACTTGTCTTTATTTTTAGTCTCTTTTCTATCCGTCTGCCTCAGTTTGAGTGCTGATTGTCTTTATTCTGTTGTAGCGCAAGTGTGAGGATTGCCTCCAAGAAGTTTGAATCCAGCACAGTAAGATAAGAATTTACTTTTACCTGATGACACTGAATGCAAATACTTTAAGTTTGTTTGTATCATCGAATTATCACTGTATTCTTTTAATATCGATTGAGAGATATTGACAGATGTTGACTTGGGTCTTGGGTGTCTTAAACTTGTACATGGCTGGTTTACAGAGTGTGTTATGTTAATTATCCAGGACCAAAATGAAGACGAAGACAAAGCATCATCTTTCCAGAGAAAGTGAGTTTAAACAGCCAAACTTTTTTTGCACCTCTTATTGTTATCTCAGTCAGGTTAAGTGTACACACCTGGACCCGTGTATATGTGCATTGTGTTTTGTACAGCTCTAGGCAGAGGATTTCATCCAGGTCCATCCGGGAGAAGATGGAGAGACTTGCTCAGGCTGCACAGGTCAGACTCTCTTCAATCAGAATAACGCAACTTGAGTAACTGTACAAGTAATCATTTCCTTACCCTATGGTAACATTTTTTTCTTGACTCTGCTTCCTACATGTGTGTAGAAGTCAGACATGCCACGATCCCCAGACGTGACCCAGAGGACCCTCTTCCTGCTGGACGAGGTGTCCAGGAAGAGAGGCCTCTTTGAGAAGGAGCAGCAGGCAGCGAGCCCCACCAGCCCCGGAGTTTCCAGACAGGTACAGTCCTTTATTAGATGTACATGTGCCATCAAGGCATGACATCATTAGCATATATGTGTTGTTATTGTTTCACATCTCTGTCTGAAATCAACAGGAATTTAGGAGCTTCACATCAGGAATGTCAGATCGCATCAACCGCTGGCTCAACAAAACCAACCAACCCGGGTCTTCACACATTGCAACTGTGAGGCTATTTGCATTGTTTTATTCCTACTAAAACTGCATCATGGAAGAGGTTATACAAGTGTAGCAGCTAGAGGGCAGTAGTGCTCTTTCTACTGTACTGAATGTGCCTCAGATGTCCTTAGCAGGGTTCATTTTTTCTTCCTGCTGCTTACTTTTGTTAGTAAACTCATTCAGATTACGATCCTTGTTGTCTTTACAAATAGGTTTTCTCCTCCTGTTCTGGCAACTGATTGAACATTCAGTCTTCATTAATTCTGTTATGTTAGAGTGGTGGATATTTGTCTTAAGTTTGGTGCTTAGAGATTTTGCTCTCTTAAGGTTAACTGGATAACTGGTTGACTAAACTTCAGAGGTTTAGTTTTAAAGTTAATTCCCAATTTCAAAAAAGTTTCTATGACATACTGCTGTTAGTTTTAACAGTAAGGTTTCCATGGCTACGGGGACACTGGCATCTTTGTCATATTCCGCACAAAAATAAAATCTTTTTGGTTATCATTTATAACAGAGAAATGTTTGACAGATACCAGTATACACACAAATATAAACACAGCACTTGTGTTTTACCCCCATTTTTCATGAGTTAAGATAAAAGACCTAAGATGAACACACAAAAGACTTTTCTCAAATTTTGTTCACAAACTACTTAAAATTCCTGAGCACTTTGCCAGCATAGCTGTTGTCCCTGAATTGAGTGTTCGTTTCTGAGAATTTGGCAGTTCATGAAGCTGTTTTGCAGCATCTTGATATGCCATACCTGTTAGCAGGGTCTACAGGTGTCAGACATTAATGTTAATGCTTTTTAAAACCTGTTCAAGACAACTTTTAACCAAATGCAGGACAAATATTTGGAGTAGTATATATGTGGTCTTGTGCAGAGGTGTAGGAATATGGTTATTAGAGTGAGTAAAGTCAAACTACATTTTGCCAACAGGTAAGTGCAAGTATGAAGTAAAATGACAGTATTATAGTTTGTTTTTTTTGTTTTTTTTTAAAGATTTGTAACATTAGAAATGTGGACTTTTACATTGAAAGGCTTCACTCATTTTCACAAAAAGAAACTAAAAAATTGATAAATTAGATAAAATGTTTGTAGTACTAAAGACCTCACAAATTCAAATTTAAGACTATTTAATGACTTTTAAGGCCTTATTGTTGTAACATTGAATTTAAGGCATTTTAAGACTTTTTGAAGACCTGTAGACACTCTGGTCAAGTTGGATGAGTCATGTTGGCAAAATGCTGACTAACAAGAATTTAAACAAATTTGTGAACAAAATTTGAGAGAACTAAGTCTTTTGTGCTCATTGAAAAAGTCATATAGATATTTATATAGATTTATGTATACAGAGAAAGAGCAAAAGAGAGAGCGCAAATATGTTTATTTTTTTCTGTCTGTTGTATTAAAGGAGCAGTGTGTAGGATTCATAGGATTTAGTGGCATCTAGCAGACTGTAACCAGCTGCAACTTGTGAACTTCCGGTTGGATTTCCTTCTGTATTCATTTTTCAGGAGGTTTTTACGGTAGCCGAATTATCAAGAAAAGTCTCCTCCTCTCCAAAACAAACACACCCGGTGATTTAAACCGGTACAAACACTGAATAAAGCAGTTTCACGTTACAAATGATCACACAGACAGGTCGCTTGCCCAGCACCTGCTAATGTATGCTCACCATTTTTCTCAGATAACTTAAGATCCAGATGTTTAGAAGGTTTTTATCAGGAGCTGCATTATTCACAGAGGTCTCCTCCTCTCCAAAACAAATGGACCAATGATTTAAAAAAAAAAAAAAAAAAAAAAAAGAGGGGGTGGCAGCTAACGACAGTGACCTCCCTATGTAGATAAAAACGGCTCACTCTAAGTGTAGTGGCCATTTCAACACACCACAGTTCCTGGGCCACTTAGTTTGTGAGGTGTCTTGGTTTTGACTGGTGTTTCTGTTCCTTTTGTGGAGATCTACAGTACTCACATGAGGCAGGTAAAAAGTTGAGCAAGGTTTATTGAGAATACAAAAAAAATTACATTTTGTACGGTCCACTACCGACTTGATGTCCTATTTATATATATTCTCATCATATTCCCGTAACTACACTACAACACTGCATAACACGGTCAAAAACTTTTATTTATTACTTTATTATGATCCAAATCAACACAAACTTCACGTCATCTTTTACGCATGCCGCTGTCTACAATCACGCGCACCATGGTACCACACCTGGCATAAATAAGTTGTGCCTGTATTCTAACACATGAATAAAGTAAATATAAACATAACTTAATAGCACTCCACTATTATAAACTATTCAAAATATATAGAAACTGTTGTGTAAACTTAAATATCGTCTGAAGCTATACGACATGCCATATCAACACAGAAATTCTTTCCAAATATTAATATGTGCTTAAATGGCTCTTACGCTAATGTTACAACAACTTACATATTATATTGCATTTCTGTCCAGATATCTCCGTAAATCCTCCACACTGAACCTTAAAGGACTGATTGTCTCCTAAAAATGAGTTAACTATTACTATTTGCAGGACTTGAGACATGTGGACATCACCAGTAAGAGGAGCCTGTTTGAGAGCAGAGAGGAGGAGAGTGTCCCAAAAACCAGCCCTGGCAAAATCTACAAGTGACCGAAGTCCATTTATAATGCCCAGCAGGTACGATTATTGTCCCACGCTGCACTTTGACAGAACATGTGTTTTTTTAATCATTAATTTCTCGCCTTTTTGTGCCCTTATTTGTAGGATTTGGCAGACGGCGAGAGATGAAGACAACTGGAGGATTAATGGATGCCATGACTGATTCTTTCTTCAAGCTTTTTACTTTTTTTATTCCCTGCCAGAGCACATGAGAAAAACAGATATGCCACATACAGAAAAAGTGAGTTTTAGCTGTAAAGGACTGAATAGGAGGATATTGTTTTTAAAGTTAGGAGGCTTAAATCATACACTTCTGCATCGCTTCTTGAAGTACAAGTATGTCTTATTTCCAAAACTGAAACTGTTTAATGTGTGAGGAAAAGAGTGGGAGGCAAAGTGGACATGAGAGGATAAGACACGTGACAGAAAACAAGGAGGACAATGACATATATCTGAAAATGCTTCAGCTATTTGCCTTAACTTTGTGTAATTTTTCAAGCACTTTAAACAGGTAAGGGTCTTAATGGTGCCTATGTTTTTTTTAACTGAATTACAGTAGCAGGAATTCTGGAGCTGTAATTGTATGTTTTTGTCCAATCTGCAAAATATACCTTTTGTTCTGTTAATGTGGGCAAGATGCTGCCTGTCTGAGAAATAAAATGTTTTATTACCACCAAAGTCTGTTGTAAATTTCTTTTACTGGCTCACTTACACAACAAGGAATCACTCTCTAGTCTTAAATGCACATTGACTCTGTAACATCATTGATCTCAGCCGGGGGGGGGGGGGGGGGGGGGGGGGGGGGGGGGGGGGGGGGGGGGGGTTGTAGATAAGAGCTGGATGCCTGTGTTTTGTCAGTGGCAGGATGCCATACAAGGGTGTGAAAATGTGTATGTGTGTGTGTGAATCATTGTCTGTGAGCAACTGTGGCTTTATCTGGATCTTTTTGGCATGGCGACCCACACTCTTGCACACAGCGGCCTTTTTTGGGAATGGTGATAATGGAGAGTACATGCTATCTATAAAGTTATTAATAACACAACAAGGGGTCCTAGAGCCTTTTCTCCGCTGCACAGTCTGTCCCTTTACCCTACGAGACTCACCTCACATTCCTCTCAGTGAGAGCAGGGACCCTCTGCTCTGCTGCGCACTGAATCTCGCCATCAGGTCACTTTCGTCAGCACTCTTACTCAGGTAAGTTTCACTGATTATGCGTGTAAGCGTAACCAGAACACAGGGTTGGAAATCAACTTTTGAAACAGCCATTTGGATTTTTTGCCAGCATTTGGCTGATTGCTTATTGCTAATTTCCAACTCTGCCAGAACACAGTATTTATTCTATAAAATATTGATATGAATAGAGCTGGGCAATATATTGATATCATGATACAGGACTAGATAATGTCTTCGATTTTGGTCATCTTTTCCTGATTTTAAAGGCTGCATTACAGTAAAGTGATGTAATTATTAAAACTTTCCAGACTGAACTGGCTATTTTATAAATACCCATTTCCTGGTAGTCATTATATCCACCTTACTGATGGTTGTTTATAAAAAATATCATCGTGTAAACACTGTGAAAGCACTAACAGTCAATTCTATAATATCGATATTGAGGTATTTGGTCAAAAATATTGCCATATTTGATGTTCTTCATATCGTCCAGCCCTTGTTACGAAGCTCTGGGTGATTTCTCGTTGAATTCACAGCTTAATTTTTCATGTTCAGATCCACTGCTGCGCACCTGAACGCTCCCTGCCATGTCTGACAACGAGGAGGTGGTGGAGGAGTACGAGGAGTAGGTTCAAGCTCTCATTTGTTATGCATCACACAAAACCTCTTATGCATGTTAATGCTTGAATGTACTGTACGTGTCTTGTGGAACAGTAAAAATACGCCCTGTTATACAACTACAATGGCAGGTTTTTTTTAACATATATTTTAATGACAGCTTTATGATGTTAAAATGTGATGATGGATTGCTATGTACATCTGCCTTTATATGAGAATAATAACTCAAGTATACGCATTTGATTTTCACAGGGAGCAGGGAGGTAAGGACTCTCATCATGACTCACCATCACATACTGTACATGATCATGAGAGCACTGACAGATATGAGCTACTGTTAAAACTAAACCCATGTAGTTTTGACAGATGTTTTCTTTAGGTAATCCATTTAGATTATATAATAACGTGATACTACAGTATACGCTATGGAGTGTTACATGGCTCTCAAAGGAATGTAAAGACATTTTTATGGTGTCTCTTGTGAATGAAAATGTCACACTGATGTATGAAATGTAAATGCTCAGCCTGTCTGTTCAGCATACAGCTCCCATAAGTGTATAAGTGTAGCTGATGTATATACAGTATAAATGAGCGAGACACAGTACTGTATGAGTAAAAGGTTTGAGGCTTATCATAATGCAGCACAAAGTGTGTTTGTACCAAAACACTTCCTTGTAGAGTCAAAGACTGCAGTAGTTTTTTTTTGGCAGATCCACAGGATGTTAAGGTTATTTCTTCAAGGTTTTCAATAATGACTTCCTCTTCCTGTTCCTTCTTTTGCTTTGAACTAGTTGAAACACTACAGCAAAGGTAGTTGTGAGTGTATAACGTGCAGTACTTTTCCTCATGTGATCACATTTGTATGTCCTTTCTGTTGTGTGTGTTCCCGGCTCTGTGATTCAGAAGAGGAGGCTGCCGAAGGTATGAGACATTTATAAATGAAGCTCTGGGTCATCGATGAGGGATTTGTGGTCATGTTTTAGTAGGACTCTTACCAGAACAACAGGTGGAGTGATGAACATTGACAGTCAGGGTGCATGTGGTTAAAATACCACAGCTGTGAGTCAGTGGTGGAGGAAGTATTCAGATGTAAAAGTACTAATACCACACTGTAGAAATACTCCATTACAAGTCCTGCGTTTAAAATATTTCACACAGAAAAAAATGGTTCCTCAGCGGTTCTTTGGCATGAGATAAGGTGCTATATAGCATTGCTGCCACACAAAGAATCTCTCTTTGAACTAAACTAAACTAAGCTGAAGAGCCAGTTGAGAACATTTAAAGCCCCTGTATTGTTCTTTAGAGATTCTCTATTGCTTCTTAGTTTAGTTTACTGGGGAAAGAATAAAACACAACATTCCAGCATCCCCCACAGAGGACATGATAACCTGTCCCACAACTCCTAAGAAATGATTAATAATCATTTCAGTCAGGAACACTTTAGTCAAAGAAAACTTTATGTCCATTTGCAGTACTGTATTTGGTGGTATGGTTCTGGTCTAGGGCCTCTCTGCCTCTTCCACGCAGAGAGAGAACACTTTTCCGCCCTTCCACGTGCCTGCATGGAAAGCCTTAAGGCAGAGAGAGCATACCTCTCTGCACTTCAATGTGCACCTCTCTGCCCTTCAATGTGCAAACAAGGAAAGCCTTAAGGGAGAGAGAGCAAACCTCCCTGCCCTTCCATGTGCCTACATGGAAAGCCTAAGGCCAGAAGAGCAGCAGCAAAGACTCCCTGGGAACAGAACAGAGCAGCATCAATGACAAACAGAAATGACATTGATGAGTCAGACAAAGCATGAAAAGGAGGAGCTGGAATGGAGGCAGCAACAGTAGGCAGGACAAAGCACTTTAAATAAGGCGCCCTGAATGAGATTCACCAATTGGTTGCATAGAAAAAAATCATGTGATCTATCAGCTGATCCACCAGTTGACTGGGCTGTTTGAGATCAGCTGATGTAGATGTGGGCTGAGCTTGACATTGTGTCTTGCCTGAGCTAACGCTATGCTCGATTTATATTTTCAGTAAAAGTGTCACTAAGAAGCATCTTGATTCGTCCACAAGATGACCTCTCACAGTTCTATATAGCGATATTTGAAAAAATCGCTATATGGTACCCCCTTTAAAAGATGGGTGCCATATAGCACCAAAATAGGTTCCCCTACAACCAACTTATCAATTTATCAAATAATAATTTCAGCTTCGCTTTTAATACTGTTGGGAAGTTAAATTTATAACAAAGCTTTGAAACAAGTAATAATGCAAACATATTATTTGTAAAGTAACAACACAATATGTTGGTACTATGTGAATTGTAGTGGAGTAAAAGTAGAGAGTGGCATGATAATAACATTCTCAAGTTAAGTACAAATATCTTGAATATGTACTTAAATACAGTACTTGAGTAAATGTACTTAGTAACATCCCAACAACGGCTGTGTGATTGACATTCGTGAATGATTACATAATCATTCATGCTTGCTTTCATCATGCTTCAAAAAACTCTCTTCTTTCTTTCTTTCTTTCTTTCTTTCTCTCTGTTTGAAAGCGGCTGGCTGCTTCGCTGGCTGACTGGCCTCACTTAACGGCTCTGTGCTTTTGCTCGGCAGGGGAACAGGGGGTAGAGGAGGAGGAGGAGGAGGTGGAGGAGCAGGAGGCGGCAGAGGAAGGTACTGCTTGAGCTCAAAGCTTCTTTTTTTTCCACTCTCCATAGACGGAAAATGTTGGCTGTGTTTGTGGACACGGTGCCAGTGCCAGGAACTTGCCTGTAACAATGACCTTTTAATCACAAACACACCACATGTAGAGTGATGAAGTTCACTGTGCACTTACACAGTATCTGGCCTTAAATATTACAATACAAAATATAACCTAAATTAAAGATGTTCCAATATTATTTTTTTCCCCGATACCTACTGTGATACCTGAACTTGCATATTGGCCAATACTGAGTACCAATCCTACACCATTGCGTAAAAAAAATAAACAGGTATAACAGATAACAGGTGTGTACTACTAAGCCTGTATGCATGTGAAATGATTGCTAACATTGTTTTATGGCACGACTCAGAAATAATGGGACATTCCAGTGTAAAATACTGCCAAATATCGGACATTTTACTAACGGCAAATGTTACCCTATTAAAAAACTGAAAACTGCCGTTTTATCCGGGTGTGAAACTACTTTAAAGTTCATAAATCAGATAGCTGCATAGACTAGAGTTGCAACGGTATAAGATTTTCATGGTACGATAATAACCGTCTCAGAAAATATCGTGGTATCACAGTATTACACATTTTATATTTTTATCATTTGAACAAACGTTTTATTACTATAACTGAAATGTGAAACCATTTATAGTTAATGGAAATATGTGTAAAAAGTCTCCCCTTTGAAAAAAAAAAATAAAATAAATGGGAGATTCAATGTCCAGTTGCATTTTCTTTTCAATATCGTAGATAAGCAAATGTGCATAGTATGATAACCGTCACCTTTAATATCATGGTATACCCTGAAACTGGTATATCCCTGCAACCCTAGCATAGACTTGATACTACTTGATCCAATATTTTAGGCAGTATCAGAGACATTTCCCATACTGGTATCAGCATCGGAGCAATTTTAAAAATATAAGGCCTTAAAAGTAATTTAAAAAGTCTTAAAAATTTACAGTATGAATTAAATATTCTAGCAGACTATCCTGGGTTCTGACGTCTCAGGAATATTATTGAAAAATAATGCCTGAACTGAAAATATACATTTGGCAAGCAAAGAGACAGGTACTATATGTAGACAGTATGAAAAATGAATTCATTAATAAATAAAATATAAATAAATGCATTTCTCATGTATGTCTGTATTCCAATCCTGCTTTAGTGCGAGGTTAGCACCATCCACCCCATTACACAGACAAATAGACATAAATCTAAACATAGAAATATAAAAATAAATAAATACGTTAGAGATGTTCAGTCATTTAAATCACAATTCTACAATTATAAAAATATTTATTTTGATTATATGTTTCTGTACTTTTTTCATCATTTGATGATGTATCTATTCTTTTATTTATGTATTTATTTCAGCATTTATTTAGGTACGCATTTATTTATTCATAATAAATAACTGTACGATCTGTCCTCTGTGGAGGAAGACTGATCCAACTTTTCTGGATTAGCAATGTAAACTACCAGAAGCCCAAATAAACATTGTCTGGGTCCACAAAGTCAGCCTGTGTTTGCCGTCAATAATGGAGATATTTCCGCAAGTGTTACCTGATGAGATCAAATATTTGAGACTCTGCCACTTTGTTCTCTCTTATCTGAAGTTCCCAAATACTGACTGAACTGATTGTGTCCCAGTGAATGCTGTTTTTGTTTTTAAATGTGGGCCTTATCACAGGATAACAGAACCCATGTCAGAGATGAGAAGATATTGTGTCATCACATCTATCGCATCCAAAATACACACACACACATGCGCTCACACACACACACACACACACACACACACACACACACACACACACACGCACACACACACACACACACACGCGCGCGCGCTCTGTCTCACCAGCTCTTGAGTGCTGTCTGCTTTAAATACCAGAGGTGGGTAGCTCACTCTGAACACTCGTTATCTCTCTGCAAGGTTTTCCATGGTGTCTGAACAAACTGTTTTCTATTATGCTAACACAGCGTCAGTCCAACAACCAAACTCACATCTCCAAAAAGTGCGAACAAAAGTGCGTGAAAACAACACACTTAATTGAGTTCAGCAGCTGCTTTCTCCTAAAATTCCTTTCACCATGAACTTATGAAAAATGACAGGTCATTGACAAGGGAGCGACGGTTCCAGTGAGGCAGTGAGTCAATATCACACCCAGTGAGTGTTGAGGTTTCTCTCTGATATGTCACTATGTGCTGTCACTAACTTCGCTGACAGAGGCCGTGCAGGAAGAGGACACACCTGCTGCAGAGGGGGAGGCCAACGAAGAACAAGGTGAGGAGTTGGAGGGGAAAAAACATGTCTGAAAATCCACATTAACAAACATAAATTCAACATATTGTTAGCAAGGCCTAAAGACTTCTAGTTTAGTAGACACGATTTTACGTCCACGGTCGTAACTATAGACTAAATATAAAGAAGCACAGTGCATCTCCACTTACACCCACCATACAAAAATGAAGCCAAAATATCCTTGATACAGTTGCTACCGTCTTGTGCTGGTGATGTCATTTGGAGCCAGCATCTGTGCAGTACCGATCCCTTTGGTTTCGAGTTCTTGCCCGAACAACCATCCGACCTATTGCAAGCAGTGTCAGTACACCGATTGGCACACACAGCTGTCAATCATGATGTCAACCCCCTTTTTTTATAGCATCAAATAACTAATTAAAACCACAGTTATTAGGAAAACGAACACTTAATTATACAACAGCTTGATAAGAATCATATGAAATGACAGAAACCATCTTTGGGAAACATTTAGGCTAATATACAGTACACAACACTGATGATAGGCTAGCTAACGTTAAATCACTGTGCGGCACCTGTCCATTACAGCGAGGCTAACAGTTACCACTGATTCAAATATATTGGCCAGGTGGCTGTATCATTATTCCAAGTGTATGTACATTTATGTGGGCCACAATGGAAGTTTTGTAATTTTTCAAGCAAGTGAGGTCATACATGGCGCTTTAGACCACCCTACACGTTACTGTAGGCCCAGTTTACATGCATATGCAGCTCACTTGTATACAATATATGTAGTATGGGGTCCCTGCTCAACCCCATTTCCACTTAGACCCTGATTTAAACTGAAGACATGGAGTCAATGCTGATACTGTGTCAGCTTTGGTTACTAAGTGTAGCGTCGGGTGTTGACAACGCAGCAATGATGATTAATTTATTGTCCATAATCATCACTCAGAGACAGACGGGAAAATGATCTGCTACCTCAGTCACACTTCACTTTGGTATGTGACAGTCTGCAGCGACATGATGAGGTCGAGCTCTCATGTTTTCCTCGTTGTCTCCCTCTCTCTTAGTCACGCCAGACATAGCCACTGGGTGGAAGTAATCCCCAGGTCTCTCAGCCCTCCCAGCCCTCAGGCACCTGCCTATTAGTCAGAATTTGATATTTTCTTAATCAGCAACGTTCAGGTGCTTTTCTCTGTTGTTTCCAGTTATATGAAAAGAGAGTGATATTAGTCAGAGGTCACATTTTCACCTTATCCGTGCTTCATATCAGTAAACGCCCTATGAGGCACGTGTGAAGTGAACTGTCACCTGTTCTGTCACAAACTGGAGAAAGGGACTGTTCGACCTGCCGAAATATGTGTCCTTTATTTAACCAGGAAAAAGATTTAACTTTTTCTTTTCAAGAGCAACCTAGCCAAGAGGGCAGCGTCAACATCATTACAACAGTAGACACAAGAAGACTAGTACAACTGTCAAATCCAGAAATGAGCAAGCACAGCATCCAATTAAAATGCAACAAAAAAGTGTTAAATACATAAAAATGTGCATTTTTTTAAAAAAAAGTTTTAGAGAAAATATGAGTAGCAAGAGTGCTATTTCATCAATCCATTAACTTAAATTCTCCCTTTGTAATCAGCTCAGACAATTTCAGGTCTGTAAATTATTTCAAGAAGACTCATCAGTGTGTTTAAAAGCTTTTTTTGCCTACTTTAGCTCAAACCTTGAAGACCAACAGAAGTAAAATATTATAAGAGTGCAGGCTGTATTGGTTTTGGTTTTTACACATGTATGTACACAGGTAAGAAGGAACCAGCCCAAGCAGAGATTTGTACTTAAAAATCAAACGATACAAATGTCTGCGGACGTACAGAGAGATCATTTAGCAGCAGCATGCAGCGTACAGTGGTGTAAGCAGCTTCCACAGCCACTAATAGTACATCAAGCACAACGGTATACAGTATCCAACTACTTATGGTAAAAAAAAGTTGCAGAAATAAGTGTTTCCTTGCCAAAATAGTTTGTGAATGGAGCCTTTCTCCTGTCAGTTCATTTTAGTATCAGAGAAGTTTTTGTAAGTCATGCAAGGGATGGTTTTGTCAGTCCACAACTTTAGTCCAGACTGAAATATCAAATCATTGCATAGTTTGCCATGAAATTCTGCGCACAAATTCATGGTATAAATCCGACTGACTCTGGTGATCCCCTGGCTTTTCCTCTAGCCCCACAACCTGATCAAACCTCTGATTTATCCAGTGAAGTATCTCAACACCTGCTAGCAGGACTGAAACAAAATCAAACAGACATTCATGGATCTCATGTGATTAACTCTAGTACCTTTTTATCTATCATCATCACCAGGTCAAAATTTCAGTTTGTTCAGCACTGTGCTTTATATGATCAAATACCGGTAAAACCATCCTTTCAGCCTAACCTTTACAGGCTCTGCTCCAAATTTTTGAGTGTCACTCAGAGGTTACAGATGCCATACCTTCTTTGGTGACTGACTGCTTATTATCTAGACAACCTCTCTGACAGAATGCTATTTATGATATGTGATGCACGCAACACTTAACTGTTGACGGACACACCAACACAGATAAGCAAACAGTACCTGAGTGTCTCAGTGCTCTATTTCAGTCATTCTCTTCTTTTCATGTGCTCTGATATGTACTTATGTCTGTCAGCACTCCTAAAACACAGCTGTCCCCTGATGCGCACTCATTTGACACACACACACTAACAAACTCACACAAGCCTCTCAAGTATTTTATTTTGCTTTCAGATGGAGAAGAGGAAGCAGAGGAGGGAGAAGGTAACACTGCTTGTCTAAATTACATCAAAATTACTGTTGGCACCCTTTACACATTGTCAGTCAGTTTTTCTTGGATGTACTCAACTTGCACTGGAGTTCTCAGATGAACTCTCTGCCGAACAAAATTTCCCAACTGTTACGTGCGTACACAAGCTCTATTGTCACACCTTCCTGGCACTTCCTGGTAGGATTATGAAATATTTTGGTGAGTGTGTGTGGTTTTGACTGGCTTATTGGTGTTTTCTCTTTCTTATTTTCTTTCTAAACAGAGGAGGCCAAGCCAAAATTCAAGTGAGTAATCCTCACTGATGTATACATATACACACAAACACACACACAAGTTTATTCCTGTACAGTTCTGTTATGCTAGGGAGTAATTATAATATTGACTATTGCCATATTTGAATATATGCTTAAAATGCCCCTCCCCAAAAATTGATTAAAGCACGGAGTAAGCATATAACCATACAAAAAGCACATAGCAAGGCACATAAGCAAAAACAACAAGACATAAGCACTATTAATAAAACAATGACATAACCATATCACCAAAACATTAAGAATGTACTATAGAAAACTACAAAATAAAACTCAGCCCAAAGCACATAGCCTCAAATAAACACACAAACTCAGCAATTTACTTTCTATAAAGCTTTTAAATTAAAGATATTTTGGGGAATACATTCTTGGCTTTCTTGCCAAAAGCTAGATAAGAAGATGGATACCAACCTAATGTCATTTATCATACAGCCCCAGCAGCCAGTTAGCTTAGCTTAACTTAGCTTAGCTTAGCTTAGCACACAGACTGGAAACAGGTGGAAACAGCTAGCCTAGCTTAGTTCAGAAAATTCTCATACAAGCACCTCTAAAAGCTCACTCAACACTTTATAACTTGTTTGTTTAATCTGTACAAATATACTGCCTCTGAACAAGAAATATTCTGAATTATATATTGTTTTTAAAATGTGTTTTTTTGTATGAATCACAGCCACATAATGATTGGAGGCAATTAATGTCCTTAAAACCCCTTTTTGTTTGATGCAATTTGTGCCAAACATAATCTCACTTCTTTTCGGAGATATAACTCTCTTAAATATGAACAAACAAACATAAGACTTGTATTTTTAGACTTAGTGTGACTTACGTGTCCTGGGGGTATCAGTATGTCCATTGTCCATCCATCCATTAAAAGGCTTTTTTTAATCAGAGGAAAGTCGCTCCTCATCACTGCAGAACTCCCTTGAAAATATTCACAATTTTAAAGTTTCTTCAGCATTTAAGTAATCCAGTGATAGTTATCTATCGTATCAATGGGTTTATTGTAAAGGGGAACTTCTAATAAATAATTCGGCATACGTTTTATGATGCCACTTTTCCAAAATTTCAACAAATATACAGGCTAAAAAACGGGGCTCAAGTTTTACAAGCTAGTCTATAGCATAAGTCTTTGTATCTTACTTCCTGTTTACGTCCCCAAAAGCATTATGGGAAGCATTATAGTATTTCCAAAATTTAGATCATGAATATCTACCATATAGAGGTACGACAAAGAATAATTGGAGTGATAAAATACATAAAAAACAATTCTTTTTCTTGACATTACTCAGCTCAAAATAAATCCCACCATCTTTGTCCCTAAACATTAAAATAACCAAATTCTAACTTAAGCGGAATCAGGTTTATCTTCAAGTAGGTGTACACATAAAAGGAATTTGCATAGGTATTTCGACAGATAACAGTCACAATGTATTGTAGGAGAAAAGAAAAATAAACAGCAAGTTAAAATTTTTAAATATAAAATAAAAATTTAAAATAGAATTTGTAGAATATATCTGTTTAACTTGTTTTAATGTGTTTGCTTCAAACCAAAGCCCTAAGACTAACCCTGCACATTTGTGCATGACCAAAAACTATTAGTTATCAGCGTTTAGAAATGCCATTAAATGAAGGCGCCAGAATATAAAATGGTTAAGACTTGAAATTTACAATTTAGAAATTCTGATCTGCAAAAGGTCTCTGTCTACATTATCATGGTTAGTGTAAGTACATCATGTAACACTGTGGAACATACAGTTGATAAATACTGATTTAAAGAACCTGCTTCTAAGCATTCATGACATGCCCAGACACACATGAATACACTGAAGGAACATTCATGTGGCATGTTAAACCTGCTGACTATATTTATCATCATGAGAAATCCACAGTGACAGTGTCTGTTTTCACACTTGACTGTTTAACTGTCAGTCTCATTTTTTTGTCTTCCCTTTTTAATCTCCAGGCCATTTATCATGCCCAACCTCATCCCTCCTAAGATCCCAGATGGAGAGAAGGTGGATTTTGATGTGAGTGACAAACTTGCAGAACATACTGTGCATGGGTGTCTGCCTAATGCTGTGCAACCAATGAATCATACATACATCAGCACTAAACCCTTGTTTCTGTAGGATATCCATCGTAAAAGGATGGAGAAGGACCTGATGGAGCTTCAGACTTTGATTGAGGTTCACTTTGAGAGCAGGAAGAAAGAAGAGGAAGAGCTCATTAGTCTCAGAGAGAGGATTGTAAGAGCCTCATGCTATAGAAAATGCACATAATGTAGTGTGAAGCCAGCTTTAATATCTGCTAAGATGTGATGATCTGCTGTGCAGGAGAAGCGTCGTTCTGAGCGAGCAGAGCAGCAAAGAATCCGCAGTGAGAGAGAGAAAGAGCGACAGAAGCGGCTTGAGGTACAGTCATGTTGCGGTTATGTAATGTATACTTCCTGCATCGGTTGAGTGAGCCACCTCCTAACATTTCACTCCTGGTCCTCTTTCTCTCTGGATCTGTGTTTGTTTAGGATGAGAGAGCTCGTAAGGAGGAGGAGGAAGCCAAGAGGAGAGCAGAGGATGACGCCAAGAAGAAGAAAACCCTCACCAGCCTCCACTTTGGAGGTTACATGCAGAAGCTGGTGAGCAGTTGGAGGGTTTATAGTGGGAGGTTAAAGTGGTTAACATGTGAAGGATGTAGATCCGAGCCATGTTTTATTTCACCTCCCCACAGACTGAAAAACGGAGTGGTAAGAGGCAGACAGAGAGAGAGAAGAAGAAGAAGATCCTGAGCGAAAGACACAAGCCTCTGGACATCGAGAACTTGGGCCAGGACAAACTCAAGTAGGTGGACATACTGTATATTGTGTTATTTTACCATAGGAAAGATAAAGTAGGGACATTATTTCTGATACACATATGACAATGGAAAGAATCCCTCAACGTAACATAAACAACAACAACCATACTGTCCCATTTTTGTGTTTCTGTGTCTCACAGGGAGAAAGCTAAGGAGCTGTGGGAGTGGTTGCAACAGCTGGAGGCAGAGAAGTTTGAACTGCAGTACGAGATCACCAGACAGAAATATGATGTATGTGCTACAGGACACATATGACATATTACAAACGATGTTGAAGTAACACACAGGATATAATAGACCTCTCTGAAATAAAATTTGCATGTTTTCTTTGTTCCAGATTAACGTGCTGAGGAACCGTGTCAGTGACCATCAGAAAACGTAAGAAGGAACATTCTCTCCCTAATGTTGCGCACACTTTTTACACAGACGTACTAAACTAATGCATGTCTGATCACAGACTTTGTTCCAAAAATCATAGTCTACCTAATAGACTAAATCATATAACAGAATTAGGGACTGAGATATTGCATTCATGAGAATGAGACCACCAAATCTAATCAGTTTGTTGTTGAGTCCAAGTGGACGTTAGTGCCAAATTTGAGGGAAATTCCCTCAAAAGGTTTTTGAGATATTGCGTTCACAAGAATGAGATGGATGCAAGGCCACAGTGACTTTGACCTTTGAAACCAACATTTAATCAGTACATTCTTAAGTCCAAGTGGACGTTTATGCCAAATTTGAGGAAAGTCCCTCAAAGGGTTTTTGAGATATTGTGTTCACGAGAATGAAATGGATGCAAGGCCACAGTTACCTTGACCTTTGACAACTGACATTTAATTTACTCATGCTTAAGTGCAAGTGGACGTTTATGCTGAATTTGTGGACATTCCCTTAAGGCCTTCTTGAGGTATCACATTCACTAGAATTAGATGAATCAGGACATTGTGATCTTGACCTTTTATCACAAAAATCTAATAAGTTTGTACTGCCAAGTGGACGTTTGTGCCAAATTTGAGGACATTCCCTCAAGGCCTTCTTGAGGTATTGCATTCTCGTGAATGCAATACCTCAAGAAGGCCTTGAGGACATTCCCTCAAGGCCTTCTTGAGGTATTACATTCACGAGAATGAGATGAACCAGAAGACCTTTCATCACCAAAATCTCATCATTTCATTATTAACTCACAGTGCATACTTGTGCCAAATTTAAAGGAACTTCCTTAAGGCATTCTTGATATTGCCTTTATGAGAATGGGACAGACGGACTACCTGAAAACATAATCCAGCCATCACCAGCATGAATGCATAAAAAAGAAAAGACAGACACTGTTAAAAGAGACAGATAACAAACAGAGGCTGAGATATCTTATCTTTTAGTCCTGGGTATGAGTCAAGCCCCGTGACACTCCCAAAAGCTCCCTCTAATAACACAGACAACATTATACAACTCTTCCTTTTTGGTCGGTCCTCGCCTGACCAACCTGAAGAACTACTCTTAAAGTGCCTGTCAAGGCCAGTAGACCATTTTTCACAGCAGATATTTTGCTTTGTCAGAGCAGGAACTGCACAGGTGGACTTGTTAGCAGTAATGATGGCTGCATTCCATTTAGGTGAGCTAGTTCCAGTGCTCTGCATGGTCACTCATTGATGTGGCTTATTGGGAAACCTAATGGAATGAAGCCGGCAAGACATCGTTGATGTTATTATTTACACCTGTGTTTTTTTGCTTTGACAGGTTCAAATGTCAAACAGGTTTAGCTCATTAACAAAACGGCTGTGTCCAACTGTGGGTGAGATGGCCTCAGAGAAAAAGAAAAGAATTTGTTTCCCTCTCTCTGGGAACACAGGTTATATGCGTAACCTCCTGCTCTCACAGGTTGAGTAGTATTCCTCATGATGAATAGACTTTATGCGTAAAATTGGTGGAGTGCGCCTTTGAGGTTAGAGCTATGGCTGGGTTACACTCGAAATGAAGTAGTTTGTACTTCTTACTAATTTCAAAAGAGTTGTTCCAAACGTACACAGTTGACAGCAAAGTCCCTTTTTATACATACAGTCTGTCTGAAATGTTTAGGAACATTCCTGCAAAGGGTCACGTGTGAATCAGAGCAGGGATTAACGTTCAGGGAAATCTTTACCACTTATTTCCAGCCTCAAGACCTGGTAGATATCAGGAAAAATACTGGTATGGTTTTGTGGTGAATGAAAGCAGTAATATTGCAGGGTCAAGCATGCAAAGGTTTACGTCCGATTGACACCGGACAAAAATAGCTCCTCGTTCCTGTTCCTGAAAATAATAAGAGACGTCTTCCTCTGTGTTCTACTGCTGAGTAAGATGCAATACTATTTAAATATGCACAGACATGTTATTCCAAGATGAGAAAACTTGCTCAAAACCAGGTGACAAAAATCAATAATTATGTCTTGAATTCAAGCCCTGAGGTCATGCTGCACTGTGACTGGAAAGACTACAAACAAATGATCTGATAGCTTAAACTGCAGACATCAATAGTCACATAGATATCTATTAGAGTCACAGACACAACATTTAAGTTGTGAAAGCTGAGCTGTAATTTGTCGCACTGATCCCAGCATACAACAGTGTTTTCATTTAAATGGTGGTGTTAACAGAAGTCCATCAGGTGTCTGTGTGCGTGTTCATTCGTTGTCATGGAGGCTCTTTGAACGCTTATCACTGAACTTAGTGACAGTTTAAGGCCAGGATAGCACCCCACCTCCTTCCCTGCCCTGTCACAGCCCTGCTCTCATTTTGCAAGCTAACAAGCCCCCCGAGGCTCTGTTACTCACTCAGACTGGGAGAGCTGGCTGCGTGGCTGGGTGTGGCAGGTGGGTCAGCTGTCACACCTGTCATAGACACACTGAGGGAGCACTTGAATGTCTCACAGTGTGCTGACTGCCTTGTTATTTTTGCAACGAACAGTTGAAGATTCTGCAACGTCAGTGTTGGCTAAATGTGCATTTGCTTGGACAAACAAGATGTTTTTGCTTCATGTGAATCTTCCTTTTTTGTAATAGATCCAAGAGGACCAAAAGAGGCCTGAGGAAATAACTGTAGACAAGCTGAGTGATCATCAGCCCTGTCCTGCAGCCACCGCCTCAAACCAAGCCCTAGCTTTCCTGCCACACCCCGGTCCCACCTGTTTCACTAATACCATCACCTACAGTAACAATTACATCCAGCTTCATCTCACTCTGTTGTTGTCCTCTTATTCCCATCCGATAGAATCTGTGTTTATGGGTGCAAATAAAACCATTTTAGTTCAATCAGTGACTTCTTGCTCTTTTGAGCGTGGGTGCATGAGTTTCCTGGAACTCAAAAATAAAGTGTCATTCAAGACATGAGTGCAGAAAGCCTAAAGCAAAGTCAGAAAGAGACATCTTCCTGCTCACAGACAGGTTCTGACATGACTAAGGCTGTCATGGTGCTCCTCAGGCTAACGCCCAGACCTCCTCTCATGTAAATATACACACACAAATCTGGAGGAGAATGAATCATTTCTATCCAACATTGATCCAGGTGGGAACATCCTTTTTAAAATGAAAAGGACATTCCTCCTTCGACTGCTTTTCAACTTCTCTTCAAAGAGTATTATAAAACTCAAGGTGAATTCACGCTACAACATTCTTGCTTTGGATCAGACAGACTTGCATAACTAAATACCAGTTAAGTCACTGGTGTATCTGATGTGGCACCAGATATGCAGGAAACGTTACAACTTGTAATGAAACAAGCACACCGCTCAGGGGTGGTATGATTTATGTTTTTGTGGCCAGATTTGCCAGATTAAATCTGCATCTATGTTTTGTGAACTCCTTTTCATTACCTGTCAGGACAACTCTAGGGGCAAAAGTTGACTGTGATTTTATCGTTAATGATCAGATCTGTAGCAAGATAAACGCCATTACTCAGTTTTTCACTCATCTGAAGGATAAAAGACTGACAAAACAAACAAACAAGACGCTTGTGATTTATTCCGTCACTTAGGAACAGACTTGCTGGTCCAGTCAACCTCAATGAAAGGGAACGAAGAAAAAAGGGAAGAAAGATAATCAACTCTACATCATGTGGAACAAAATAAATCCTTCTTACTGTGTTGTTATTATTAGAAATGAACAAAGAATGTATTTGTTGTGAAAATAGTGTGATGCACAAAGTATGCATTCAATATAAAGGGAACCTATTACGTTTACCTTATTTTTTGTCATATAGACAGTCAAAGCACTGTTTTAATGTACCGTTTGGTTTGGTTATCCAGAGCACCACACTCTCGGAGTGGCAGAGTGCACTCTAGGCACTCTGTCTGTGGAGATGGAACAGCAGGGCGCCGAATAGAATGAATGTGTGATTAACAACTGTTCATTAATTCGTATAGAAATATAATGCTCTGTTTCTTCAACAAACAGGGCCCACATTTAAGTTTAGAGTGTCAGACTGAATTTGCAATTGCACCATGTCAGATCACTCACTCTCCGGGACTGCGAGTGTTACTTGAATAAGTAAACACTGACCAGCGGGATCAAACTGGCCGACCTGTGTGTTCTCACCCAGTTGATGGGTGATGTGACAGGATTGTTGAAGGTGGGATGGCCGGCTTTGTGGTTGATTACTATGCCAATCTTACAAATGAGTACGACACTTGATCAGTTTCCTTCGGTTTGTTTTGCTATCAAAGCTAATGTTAGCTAATGTGCCTTAAAAATTAGCATTACAGAGAAATCCAATATTCCTCTTAATACCTCCCAAATTTCTGATTATGTGGACATGATAATACACATAATGTTATCCATCCCTACAACAGTAAATACTTTTCCCTAACCTGATATGAAGTGTGCACTGCACATGCAAGCCTTTGTCCAGTCCTTTCGTCTTATCACTTTTAGCCACAGTTATCTTTGTTTTTGTTGACGAGCAGTGGCGGCTGATGTGTGATAAAATTTCAGTTTTGAGCCATGGCTCCTTCTGTTCTGGCTCCCAATATGACAAGAAGACAACATTTTAAGACTCCTATGTAGCCTACAGCCCTGTTGTGGAGAGTTGTGTTCTGCCTCCAGACATCAGCTCTAAAAGGGTCTATAGCCAATACATTGTTACAATGTTGGATGTTCATATTAAACATGGCCAAAGGTTTTAAATAAAGAGGTGAACATACATAAAAGTAATCCCTTTGAGCAAAAAACTCAGGTTGTAGACTTTTCTGAATACTCTGTTTCTAATAATCTTTTTCTACTTTGGCTATAAGCTGACGTCAACTCATGATGGATTTCTTTATATAGCCCAGACACAAGACTGCAAGTGTTAACATTATCTAGCATACACTGCTACATGTAGCAACATGCTAATGTCTTTTTTTTAAAAATACTTTATTGCAATGTTTCAAATATTTTGTGCAAATCACTACTAAGTCCATTGCATATTTTTATGCTTTTTGTGTAAATTAAAGCTTTGCGCACAGAGGCTAGCAAACATGTACAGCTACATAAATAAAGAAATAGCTACATGCTAACGTCAGGGGAACATGTAATCGTGGTTAGCTGAGGTTGTTAATTTCTTTTACAGAGCATATTTCTATTGCAACATGTCCTGCTGTGAAGATCTTGCATTTAGAAACAATTACAGGTGATTTTTCATGGGACAAAGTGTCGCTGTACTCTGTTTCAGTCATTCCCTGGCTGCAAGCATGCTAACATACATGTAGCCACATGCTAACATCAAGGAAAATTTCTCTCTAATTTCAGATCATATTCCTGCTGAAACATGTCCTGTTGAGTTTTAATTGGTGACTTTTCATGCAGTCATTCTCCAGCTGTACTGACGGTACAGAGATTCTGACATATGGAAGACCTGCAAACACTGACCAATCAGAGCAGACTGGGCTTTCTGTGAGGGGTGCTTTAAGGTAAAGGTGCTAAAACAGAGCGTGATTACAGGTGTTCCAGCACAGATAGTATGAGAAAAATATAGTGTTTTTTGCACTATTAAAGCATGTTAAAATGTTCTGGCAGAACTCCAAAATACAAACATGAACCTGAAAATGAGCATAATAAGTCCCTTTTAAATCTTAAAAAAAACCAAAAAAAACTCACCTAACCTGCTTCAGACCCTCACACCCAATTTAGAAAATAGTCTTGCTTTCATAAGTGTTCTCTTAGTCAAAGAATGGCATGCACGCACACCACAAAAGCCCTGCTGGAATGAACTTAATTAGTTCAAGAGAACTACAAGAAATGACGAACAGACACTCTGGTATCTTCCAGCATAGCTCATATCTATACGCACATAGTGTGAACCTTTTGTTAGCATACTGAATGACTTTAAAGTTAGTTGCTGAGGGAAAAAACAACACTTACAAAGTTGTCTTCGTCTCTGTTTTTTATTCTATGTACAGACTGAGTGACAGGGAAAACTCCTAATTATATGCCACACACACATTTCTCCAGAAATACATTCTTAGCAATACTGACATCAATTTTCCCCGAGGCAAATGAACCTAGGCAGGACTATAATGTCTCAAGCATTAAAAAAACAGTCCTCTGCAGTGTGTTGTTGAAGCTATGGCATCTCTTTGCTTTAGCCATTTGTATAACTGGTCTTCAAAAAGCATTGGAGTTCTTTAAATAACAGTGGTTTGCTTATGAGAGCAGATATTGTATAATGAGCCCTTTAAACTTTAAAGAAGCAAAATTCACATATATAAGTTTTAGATGAAGAACCACATGTTTTTAAATCCAAACAACATTTATAATGTATGTTTATATATTTGGATGTGCAGCTTCTCTTGCCTGAGGTGGTGCAAACAGATCATAATTCATTAGCCTTATGTTTGAGGGTGCAGCCCCTTCATTATCTCCTTTGTGACTTCTGTTGAGTTAGATCAAAGAACACTTACAGTAGGAGACTAAGTGTACAGCCAGCAGCTAAATCCGACTGTTACAGGTTACGTCAACTGTTGATACATTTCATATTGGACTTAAAAGGGTTTTCAAAGAGATGTCTGACTACTTATACTGCTGCAAATTTCTATACAAGGGCACAGCTGGTGTTACATGTTGTGTACTATATTCCAATACTTCTCTGTCTCCTATTCCTCAGTTTATGCAAGAAAACAAAAAACAAACTAAGAACAAAACAAAATGTATATAACAAGACAAGTTTACGACAAAGCAACAGAAAAAAACAAGGCTTTTACTACTGCGCTTTAAAAAACAGTTCAGTATTTTGGGAAATACTCTTATTCACTTAGATGAAAGTAATCGATACCAATCTCATGTCTAAATATGAAGCTATTGCCAGCAGCCGCTTAGCCTAGCTTACCTTAGCTTAGCTTAGTTTAGCACAAAATCTAGAAACATTGGGAAAAAGCTAGTCTGGCTCTATCCGAAAGCAACATATTTCTACTTCTTAACACTTATTATCTTGTTTGTATAATCTGCACAAAGAGCAGCGTAAAAGCGACATATTGTGGTTTTACAGGTCACATAAACCTTATAAAACCACCAAGTGTTGTTTTCACACTCAGAACAAGATAGATTGTGTCAAGAAGTGAGCTTTAGAGGCGCTGGCAGGTGGATTTTACTACCTTTGGACTGGTCTGACTCACATGATGTGAAGTTCGGCTATAAATCTGCCATTAGCTGGCTATTTTGACCGCCATTCTCCTTCCCTTCTACTATTTGTGTGTTAGGGATTTCAAAATCCCCTTCGCTAAACGAAATAACAACAATCTCTGAGCTAACGTACACCAAAAAAATGGCAAGTTTTGATGAATAAAATAGCTTGTGAACGCGCTTTAGAAAAGCCCAGATTCCGTCTCACAGGACTCTCATTCCGGATGTTCCTCCATTTTCTTACATGGCCATTTGGGGTTAATAAGCTACATCTTTCAAAATGTCTCCAGTCAAACGGTACACCCAAACCAACCCGATTCCATGCCAGATTAGCAAACTTTCTGTTGCTGCTGTCTCTGAAGCCACTCTCCCCCTGACGAGTTTGCAGCGTTAGCATGAGCTAACACAGCAGCAGCGCTAACACCCAACTCTGAGCCATTTAATGGTCCCAACAAACTCACACCAATACCAAAACAGTTTGACTCTGTTGTTAAACAATTTAGTAATCCTCATGTAACGTTAGCTACGTGATGCTAACAGTTAGCCCTGTTACTGTGTGATTGGTTTGATTGTGTGATTGTGATTGGTTTAGAGAAACACAAACAAGCCAGAGCATTTTTCCCCTATAGCAGAATGCTAATATGGTGCTTCTAGCGCTGACACCTACAGCACTGTGGCCAGGCTAGTTGTTTCCCCCAGATTCCAGTTGTTATGCTAAGCTAAGCTAACTGAATGCTGGCTATAACTTCATATTAGATGTATAGACATAACACTAACATAACTATACCTTAAACTATTTAGGCACTCTTGTTAAAAGCTGTTTCTGTTCATTTAAAAATAAAAAATAAAAATTCTGAATCACAGAACAATAACAGAACAATGTAACAAAAAAATCCATCTGGATGTACAAGATTCATCTGACAGCAACAGTATCACAACTACACAACATTTTCTTTTCCTTTTTTGTTTTTTTAGCTGTTCATATATTTTTCTTATCACTTTCATTTTCAGCTGCTCAGTCCTCGAGGCCACAATAGACAGTTTATCTTGCCAATGCAGAAAGACACATTTGACAACAAAGCCATTCGTGAATCTAAATAATCGCTGCATGCCTTTAGTAACTTTCACTGCAGATAACATTTTCTAGTGGCCGGAGGAACTGAGTTTCAGCACATGTACACTTCACCTACCAAAAACACACTCACCCCTTTATATACACAAACAGCATCATATCCAAATTAAATACATAAAACACCGCAGGATTTATCATGAAATTAAAAGCTCTCTTTTCACTAACGTATGTACAATGTGTGACTCACTCTTAACTGATAGGCTCTCTCAACAAGGCTATTATGTGAAGAATGTAATTTTACTCTCCTCGTTGCACAGGTGTGGCCGCAGCAGTGTCTAAACATGCTGGTTTCCATCTGCAAGCACACACACGAGCACATGCGGGAAGAGAGACACAGAGAAAAGGTTTTAATCCTCATGACACAACAATGGGCTCATTTTTGCCCCACTGAGCCTTTAAAATATGAATAGGTGCAGATGCAAGCACTGAGGCGCAAATCGTACCTCTCAGCCTCTGTGGTGCCTTTTCCACTTGTCCGTCACACTCAGTCGATAACTTGCACCGACCTGTGCGCTGCTGTGGTGTTCTCATTGACAAAAAGTGCTTTGGCCATCCCCAGCTGTCGATCAAAATATTAAAAAAATATCAGTTAAGGGTGTCACACAGATGCAGCCTCCCACACACACATACATACAACACACCCTTCATCTAATTAAGAGGAAATGTACTGTGTCAGCAACTTGGAGAGGCCTCAGGCGAATCATGGCAGTGTGAACTCTGGAGTGTTTTCTTTCTCATGCCAGCTGTCAATATTATTTTTTGATTAATGGCATATGTAAATACATATGTAATACAATTCATGTAAGCACACCTTCTTATACATATACAAACATACACTTTAATAATATCCTTTATATGTTCTGTCTATTCTCCACCCTGTCCACCTCCAGCTCTCTCTGTCTTGACCTCGTCTGCATCTCTCCTTCATTTTCCATGTGTTACTCCTCCCATAATAGACAGTGAGCGCTGAAAACCAGTCTGCCAGGATTCCAGTGTGACTGTTTCTGTATTCACTGAACTTTTGGGTGTGGCAGAAGGGAAGGGAAAGTGATTGTGTGCACTATAATAAACATCCACCCTTTTCAGCTGGGCCCTCCTTTTGCGTGTGTAAGGCAGCGCGAGCATGTGCCAAGCTTTAATCTGATACACAGATACAAAAGGTTTGTGTTGTGTCTGCCTTAAGACGGGCTCACACTAAAAGATTTTTCAGATCTTAATAGATGCTGAAAACGTGAAAGACCCCACACATAACAATATATTATGATGAATTTAACAGTTTTGTTTCAATGGTGTGGGAGGAGCAACCACATGCTAACAGAGCTCTGACTCTTAAAACCAAAAATTACACAAATCTCTTGTGGTTAAATGGGACTAAGAGTATATAAACATGACAAGCGACAGGCGGGTCGAACTAGCTGTGAGTTTTTGCACTGCTCTTTACAGAAAATTTACAAAGAAGAATTTGAAATGTAGATAAAGTCATGGAGACGGCATGAACATGGACTGTACACGTAACAGCGTGAGCTGGAGGTGAATAAATTTTGAGTTGAATCCCAATACTGCATTTAACCCACAGAGACTCTGAACATGTTGACTATTTGCCATTTAATATTGACCAGGATGGACTTTCAAGCAAACTGGGGATATAAAAACACTCCGAACATACCTTATACCACGGGAAGCTTGTTAAGGCCCAGACATACCAAACCAACATCGCAGAACTACTGGCAGCGAGGGCCTACTGTTGCATAACCTCACGTTGCCTGTGGCTCAGCCAAAAAGTTGCATCTGAACACACTGCAAAGACTACAGCCAACAGCCAACCAGCATGTACGCCTGCACCAGCATGTACGCCTGCACCAGCATGTACACCTGCACCAGCATGAGAGGAAATAACTCCATGGCAGCAGGCAAAGGGAGTGTGTATTTGCCATTAAAAAAAGATCAACAGGATGAATTCAAGATGCTTGTTAGCCAGTTAGCAAAAACAAAGGATATTAACCGTGTGCTAGCCAACAATAATAGTTTGTTTTGATCTTATACCCTCTTGACTTTAGCCGTTTGTTTGCTTTCCTCACTTCCACTTCTCTTGCCGTGCACAGAGCCAAACTGCCAGTCAGAGTGATTTCATTTACCGAAAGGCTCTGCAAGATGCCATTTCAACAGGCTGAATTGGCTGAAAAAAAGCCGAAAAGGGCCGAGAAGGGCCTACAAGTGCTGACGGTGCAAAACACACAAAACTAGGGCGACAGATGCTCCCCAACGGCCCAATATGGACCAACAGCTGACCATCAGCTTGGTGTGTTAGTGCCCTTAGAACCGTCAAGAAATCAGGGAGAATTAAACACATAGTCAGCCACACTTTGTTTGCATTTTACCTTTTTCAAAACACCTTGCAAATTCTTTTCATTCCATAAGCTGTAGAGCAGCAGGGAAGCTGCTTTGCTGCCTTTGGGGAAAGACCTAAGGGAGAAGGACAAAGGTCATGAAGAAAGAGCAGAAAAAATGATGCAGATCACACACAAACAAAAAAGGATTGTGAGGAAAGGAAGCAATTCAGGCACTGAAGATACAACCTGCGCTACTGGTGTTTTAGATCCTCTGACAGCAGAAGACAAAAGTTGACCACATGGCTGTTTTAGTGTTAAAATAACCTTCTGCATGACAGCAGATTAAAAGGTTGCTTGATATATGTACTAACTGTAAAAGAGGAAGAATGCCAGCAAATGTTTAAAGTGCCACTCTGGTTAATCTGCAGAACATGCTGCCAGTGGTTTTTGTCGGGATTTCTTTGGTAGAGAGAAGCTGACAGAGTTGTTGGCAGCGTGTTCTGTCGACTGTTCCAAGTAACAGAAAGATTTTCTCTGGAAAGAGGTGTTGCTGCTTGTTTAAGGGTGAGAGGCAGCAATCTCAAACAGATCTTGAAATATGGGTGGATGAAACTCATGAATACCTGCATGGCTAAATACCTCTTGAGGTGAATGGAAAGGGTTTATTTGTGTTGCACCTTTCACACACAGATTTATAAACAAAAACTGACCTGTTCTCACTGAGGTCAGCCACCGACGACACCAGCTCATTACTGATGAACTTCTTGGTGACCTCAGGGTCCGCCAACATCAGACTGCGGACTGTGCTGCAAGCCGTTGCTATAGTTTCATCAGAGTTTCCCATCTCTCGTGGGCTGGAGGTGAGGAGGCCGGTGAGTTCAGGCAGAATCTGCTTTGCTACACAGAAGAAAAAGGAAACATTCAGTGAATCAGTTTTACGTTGACTAACTTTACATCCATGTCTGCTGCCTGTGACGCACACATCAACAACATTCCTCACCTATGGGGGTCTGCAAGCTGTCGTTCCGAGACATGTTATTCAGCAGGGACATGGCGGCCTTCTGCAGGCTGCGGTTGGGAGACTTCAAAAGAGCGGACAGGTGCAGCAGAGCCCCCAGCTTTTGAACCAGAATCTGGCTCATGGCACTGGAGCCCTGAAAGAGAAGCAAAGACCATACAGAAGGGGGAAAACACATTAGCTGTATCTCCGACCTCTCTGTAGCAGTCCATGTGACGCATGTGTCACATGTCGTGCCCCAAGATTTTTGATCCATAGAAGCAGCTGATGACTGTAAACATGATCATTACAGGTGGTTTCACAATATTTGACATGTGCATCTCATTTTCCTTTGCTCTAACTTCTCATTTCTTTCTCTAATAATCTCTGAATCAATGGAGACAAAACTCCACTCTTTCTTATAAAGCTACTCAATTGTGCTGTTGTATCATTATCCTGACCACATCTCATGTCTCTCTGTTGCTTTTCTCCTTTCTTAAATCAACCTGAGTTAATCCAAAATGTCCATTAACACCTCACACAAACAGTAAGCCTAATAATCATCTTCCTTGTACTCACCAGTCCCTTGCTGGCAGTGAGGTTCTGCAGGGCGCCACAGCAGGCCTCCAGGGTGGCACCTTTCTGGGACGAGCCCAGCAGTGACAGGTAGGTCTGCATGGCTTTTGGATGGCACAACCACTTAACACCTGATGGGGTGCTGTCCTCTGGCAGTTTGTCAAATGAAAACTGAGTAGAAAGGACAAAAAAGAAATGAGAAGGGAACGGGGCTTTGATTAAAGGCCTGTCGTGATTTAGCCACTGAACATGAGGTGGTGGTGTGGTGGTTGATGCCAACCTCCTTCTGAGCCTTGCCGCTCTTCGGGCTGAAGCATCCAATCGGGGCGTTTTTCTTATTCCCAATTTGGCCTTCCACCGGAGGTTGGAACCTGCTGAAGCATTCAGGGGACTCGGCCTCCAGTTGGTAGGTCAGGTTATGGAGGATGCATGCACAGTTCTCCACAGACTGGAGGAGAGGAGAGGTTATTAAAAAACAGCAAATGATATGATGATGTGATTCTTGTTTGCAAGTTTCCCAATGACATCACAAACTCTTTATTCACTGCCACTATATGATAAAGGAAGACCCCATTTGTGGTTATTTATTCTGCATCTGGGTCTCAAAGGAACTACTCTCAAGGTTTACTCTCATTCAAACTCAAATACAAGCATTTAAAATTATTTTTAAAATTGAAATAAATTGATTACTGGAATTTCCAGTGTGTCAATTTGGCCGGCCCACTAACAGCACTCAATTTCTTTTTAATTTGTGGTTCACATTCCCTCGTGATTAAGCATGCATCTAATAAGTTCTTAAGCAAGTGTCAGTCTTTATGTTCATTTAACAGGAAATGGAAACGGAAGTCTTCTAGCTTGGCACTGTCAGACCAGTTTGCAAATGTGAAATTAGTCTGGAACCTCTCAGTTAATTTTTGATTTACAAGGGTGTCATTTGCAGCCGTAGATGGATGGACCTATAACCAATTAGAGCAACAAAACGTGACGTAGCGCTTAACGATGGATGATTTTAAACAGCGTGCAGAGATGAGGTGTGATGGTGTAGAATCAAGATGTCTGCGAGCGAGTGTTGCGGTTTCGCCATTAGAATTTTAAAATAGCTCTTCAACTGAGAGTTCAACATCAGCTGCAGCCATCTTGGTTGTTTTCAAAAATGGCTCAATGGCGTCTTTCAAGGCTAGGTTTATGCTCGCTGTAGTGTCCCCGGTGCAAGGGTGTACAAACTATAAGTGACATCATCACATATTTTGCATAAAGCACAAAGGCTTTGCAAGTTTTCAGTCACTGTATCAAACATGTGCCATATTAGATAAACAGTTGTGATAGGCCCAAAGCTGGCAAGGTTGGCTAGCAATCTGTCTAAAGACCAAACCAGATGCATCTGCCAGAGCAAATAAATGTGAACTGGCAGATTCATCTTGTTCCCAGGCTATAATTCTTCTAGCAATGCAACAGAAACAGGCTAACCAAAATAAACTACTGGATGTAAATTCATTTGGGTTTAGATAATAAGGATTGATTAACATTACAATGGTCTCACTCAGAAAGTCAGTGAGACATAATAATATGATGAAAACATAGTAATTCCACCAGAAACTGGGACATAAACGCAGAGACCGCTCCACTTTAGAAGCCTTCTGAAAGCTTGATCACAGAGTTATTGCGACGGGATCGGTTCTCAGGGTCATCAGTCTTCTCTAACTCTTTATTCTCTTGCTGTAGTTTTCCAAGTGTTTCTCCAAGCTTGTCAGCCTATCTATGGCCGGGCTTCCTCCACTTCAGCAACGTGAGGCTTATTTGTCAATGTTTTTGCAAAGTGCATCTAGGGATTGGTTTACAGATGCGAGGGAACTTGCATTTTGGACGAGATGGCAATGTGGGTCTTCTCAGGTGGAGGTGCAGAGATAGACAAGACCCCCTCTGTCTTGAGAGCTGTGCTGTGTCTCAAATCGCATACTTCTGTACTTACACTTAATATTTTGAGTGCATAAGTACGTTCACACTGAGAAGTATGGAACAATGCAGTGCACTATGAGTACCTGGATGGTGCACTCAAAACGGTCAAGAAGCTGAGTGTGGAACTATGGACACTTGGCTACGTAGCGGAAGGGGAGGGACCACTTTTAAAACTGGAAATGGCGGCTGAGGACTGTGCGACCGTGAACATTGCTGCATTGTACAAATACATGTGTTTTTTGCACTAAGCACCACTATACTGTTGTCGGGTATAAGCCAGCAGTNATGTTCTGGCAGAACTCCAAAATACAAACATGAACCTGAAAATGAGCATAATAAGTCCCTTTTAAATCTTAAAAAAAACCAAAAAAAACTCACCTAACCTGCTTCAGACCCTCACACCCAATTTAGAAAATAGTCTTGCTTTCATAAGTGTTCTCTTAGTCAAAGAATGGCATGCACGCACACCACAAAAGCCCTGCTGGAATGAACTTAATTAGTTCAAGAGAACTACAAGAAATGACGAACAGACACTCTGGTATCTTCCAGCATAGCTCATATCTATACGCACATAGTGTGAACCTTTTGTTAGCATACTGAATGACTTTAAAGTTAGTTGCTGAGGGAAAAAACAACACTTACAAAGTTGTCTTCGTCTCTGTTTTTTATTCTATGTACAGACTGAGTGACAGGGAAAACTCCTAATTATATGCCACACACACATTTCTCCAGAAATACATTCTTAGCAATACTGACATCAATTTTCCCCGAGGCAAATGAACCTAGGCAGGACTATAATGTCTCAAGCATTAAAAAAACAGTCCTCTGCAGTGTGTTGTTGAAGCTATGGCATCTCTTTGCTTTAGCCATTTGTATAACTGGTCTTCAAAAAGCATTGGAGTTCTTTAAATAACAGTGGTTTGCTTATGAGAGCAGATATTGTATAATGAGCCCTTTAAACTTTAAAGAAGCAAAATTCACATATATAAGTTTTAGATGAAGAACCACATGTTTTTAAATCCAAACAACATTTATAATGTATGTTTATATATTTGGATGTGCAGCTTCTCTTGCCTGAGGTGGTGCAAACAGATCATAATTCATTAGCCTTATGTTTGAGGGTGCAGCCCCTTCATTATCTCCTTTGTGACTTCTGTTGAGTTAGATCAAAGAACACTTACAGTAGGAGACTAAGTGTACAGCCAGCAGCTAAATCCGACTGTTACAGGTTACGTCAACTGTTGATACATTTCATATTGGACTTAAAAGGGTTTTCAAAGAGATGTCTGACTACTTATACTGCTGCAAATTTCTATACAAGGGCACAGCTGGTGTTACATGTTGTGTACTATATTCCAATACTTCTCTGTCTCCTATTCCTCAGTTTATGCAAGAAAACAAAAAACAAACTAAGAACAAAACAAAATGTATATAACAAGACAAGTTTACGACAAAGCAACAGAAAAAAACAAGGCTTTTACTACTGCGCTTTAAAAAACAGTTCAGTATTTTGGGAAATACTCTTATTCACTTAGATGAAAGTAATCGATACCAATCTCATGTCTAAATATGAAGCTATTGCCAGCAGCCGCTTAGCCTAGCTTACCTTAGCTTAGCTTAGTTTAGCACAAAATCTAGAAACATTGGGAAAAAGCTAGTCTGGCTCTATCCGAAAGCAACATATTTCTACTTCTTAACACTTATTATCTTGTTTGTATAATCTGCACAAAGAGCAGCGTAAAAGCGACATATTGTGGTTTTACAGGTCACATAAACCTTATAAAACCACCAAGTGTTGTTTTCACACTCAGAACAAGATAGATTGTGTCAAGAAGTGAGCTTTAGAGGCGCTGGCAGGTGGATTTTACTACCTTTGGACTGGTCTGACTCACATGATGTGAAGTTCGGCTATAAATCTGCCATTAGCTGGCTATTTTGACCGCCATTCTCCTTCCCTTCTACTATTTGTGTGTTAGGGATTTCAAAATCCCCTTCGCTAAACGAAATAACAACAATCTCTGAGCTAACGTACACCAAAAAAATGGCAAGTTTTGATGAATAAAATAGCTTGTGAACGCGCTTTAGAAAAGCCCAGATTCCGTCTCACAGGACTCTCATTCCGGATGTTCCTCCATTTTCTTACATGGCCATTTGGGGTTAATAAGCTACATCTTTCAAAATGTCTCCAGTCAAACGGTACACCCAAACCAACCCGATTCCATGCCAGATTAGCAAACTTTCTGTTGCTGCTGTCTCTGAAGCCACTCTCCCCCTGACGAGTTTGCAGCGTTAGCATGAGCTAACACAGCAGCAGCGCTAACACCCAACTCTGAGCCATTTAATGGTCCCAACAAACTCACACCAATACCAAAACAGTTTGACTCTGTTGTTAAACAATTTAGTAATCCTCATGTAACGTTAGCTACGTGATGCTAACAGTTAGCCCTGTTACTGTGTGATTGGTTTGATTGTGTGATTGTGATTGGTTTAGAGAAACACAAACAAGCCAGAGCATTTTTCCCCTATAGCAGAATGCTAATATGGTGCTTCTAGCGCTGACACCTACAGCACTGTGGCCAGGCTAGTTGTTTCCCCCAGATTCCAGTTGTTATGCTAAGCTAAGCTAACTGAATGCTGGCTATAACTTCATATTAGATGTATAGACATAACACTAACATAACTATACCTTAAACTATTTAGGCACTCTTGTTAAAAGCTGTTTCTGTTCATTTAAAAATAAAAAATAAAAATTCTGAATCACAGAACAATAACAGAACAATGTAACAAAAAAATCCATCTGGATGTACAAGATTCATCTGACAGCAACAGTATCACAACTACACAACATTTTCTTTTCCTTTTTTGTTTTTTTAGCTGTTCATATATTTTTCTTATCACTTTCATTTTCAGCTGCTCAGTCCTCGAGGCCACAATAGACAGTTTATCTTGCCAATGCAGAAAGACACATTTGACAACAAAGCCATTCGTGAATCTAAATAATCGCTGCATGCCTTTAGTAACTTTCACTGCAGATAACATTTTCTAGTGGCCGGAGGAACTGAGTTTCAGCACATGTACACTTCACCTACCAAAAACACACTCACCCCTTTATATACACAAACAGCATCATATCCAAATTAAATACATAAAACACCGCAGGATTTATCATGAAATTAAAAGCTCTCTTTTCACTAACGTATGTACAATGTGTGACTCACTCTTAACTGATAGGCTCTCTCAACAAGGCTATTATGTGAAGAATGTAATTTTACTCTCCTCGTTGCACAGGTGTGGCCGCAGCAGTGTCTAAACATGCTGGTTTCCATCTGCAAGCACACACACGAGCACATGCGGGAAGAGAGACACAGAGAAAAGGTTTTAATCCTCATGACACAACAATGGGCTCATTTTTGCCCCACTGAGCCTTTAAAATATGAATAGGTGCAGATGCAAGCACTGAGGCGCAAATCGTACCTCTCAGCCTCTGTGGTGCCTTTTCCACTTGTCCGTCACACTCAGTCGATAACTTGCACCGACCTGTGCGCTGCTGTGGTGTTCTCATTGACAAAAAGTGCTTTGGCCATCCCCAGCTGTCGATCAAAATATTAAAAAAATATCAGTTAAGGGTGTCACACAGATGCAGCCTCCCACACACACATACATACAACACACCCTTCATCTAATTAAGAGGAAATGTACTGTGTCAGCAACTTGGAGAGGCCTCAGGCGAATCATGGCAGTGTGAACTCTGGAGTGTTTTCTTTCTCATGCCAGCTGTCAATATTATTTTTTGATTAATGGCATATGTAAATACATATGTAATACAATTCATGTAAGCACACCTTCTTATACATATACAAACATACACTTTAATAATATCCTTTATATGTTCTGTCTATTCTCCACCCTGTCCACCTCCAGCTCTCTCTGTCTTGACCTCGTCTGCATCTCTCCTTCATTTTCCATGTGTTACTCCTCCCATAATAGACAGTGAGCGCTGAAAACCAGTCTGCCAGGATTCCAGTGTGACTGTTTCTGTATTCACTGAACTTTTGGGTGTGGCAGAAGGGAAGGGAAAGTGATTGTGTGCACTATAATAAACATCCACCCTTTTCAGCTGGGCCCTCCTTTTGCGTGTGTAAGGCAGCGCGAGCATGTGCCAAGCTTTAATCTGATACACAGATACAAAAGGTTTGTGTTGTGTCTGCCTTAAGACGGGCTCACACTAAAAGATTTTTCAGATCTTAATAGATGCTGAAAACGTGAAAGACCCCACACATAACAATATATTATGATGAATTTAACAGTTTTGTTTCAATGGTGTGGGAGGAGCAACCACATGCTAACAGAGCTCTGACTCTTAAAACCAAAAATTACACAAATCTCTTGTGGTTAAATGGGACTAAGAGTATATAAACATGACAAGCGACAGGCGGGTCGAACTAGCTGTGAGTTTTTGCACTGCTCTTTACAGAAAATTTACAAAGAAGAATTTGAAATGTAGATAAAGTCATGGAGACGGCATGAACATGGACTGTACACGTAACAGCGTGAGCTGGAGGTGAATAAATTTTGAGTTGAATCCCAATACTGCATTTAACCCACAGAGACTCTGAACATGTTGACTATTTGCCATTTAATATTGACCAGGATGGACTTTCAAGCAAACTGGGGATATAAAAACACTCCGAACATACCTTATACCACGGGAAGCTTGTTAAGGCCCAGACATACCAAACCAACATCGCAGAACTACTGGCAGCGAGGGCCTACTGTTGCATAACCTCACGTTGCCTGTGGCTCAGCCAAAAAGTTGCATCTGAACACACTGCAAAGACTACAGCCAACAGCCAACCAGCATGTACGCCTGCACCAGCATGTACGCCTGCACCAGCATGTACACCTGCACCAGCATGAGAGGAAATAACTCCATGGCAGCAGGCAAAGGGAGTGTGTATTTGCCATTAAAAAAAGATCAACAGGATGAATTCAAGATGCTTGTTAGCCAGTTAGCAAAAACAAAGGATATTAACCGTGTGCTAGCCAACAATAATAGTTTGTTTTGATCTTATACCCTCTTGACTTTAGCCGTTTGTTTGCTTTCCTCACTTCCACTTCTCTTGCCGTGCACAGAGCCAAACTGCCAGTCAGAGTGATTTCATTTACCGAAAGGCTCTGCAAGATGCCATTTCAACAGGCTGAATTGGCTGAAAAAAAGCCGAAAAGGGCCGAGAAGGGCCTACAAGTGCTGACGGTGCAAAACACACAAAACTAGGGCGACAGATGCTCCCCAACGGCCCAATATGGACCAACAGCTGACCATCAGCTTGGTGTGTTAGTGCCCTTAGAACCGTCAAGAAATCAGGGAGAATTAAACACATAGTCAGCCACACTTTGTTTGCATTTTACCTTTTTCAAAACACCTTGCAAATTCTTTTCATTCCATAAGCTGTAGAGCAGCAGGGAAGCTGCTTTGCTGCCTTTGGGGAAAGACCTAAGGGAGAAGGACAAAGGTCATGAAGAAAGAGCAGAAAAAATGATGCAGATCACACACAAACAAAAAAGGATTGTGAGGAAAGGAAGCAATTCAGGCACTGAAGATACAACCTGCGCTACTGGTGTTTTAGATCCTCTGACAGCAGAAGACAAAAGTTGACCACATGGCTGTTTTAGTGTTAAAATAACCTTCTGCATGACAGCAGATTAAAAGGTTGCTTGATATATGTACTAACTGTAAAAGAGGAAGAATGCCAGCAAATGTTTAAAGTGCCACTCTGGTTAATCTGCAGAACATGCTGCCAGTGGTTTTTGTCGGGATTTCTTTGGTAGAGAGAAGCTGACAGAGTTGTTGGCAGCGTGTTCTGTCGACTGTTCCAAGTAACAGAAAGATTTTCTCTGGAAAGAGGTGTTGCTGCTTGTTTAAGGGTGAGAGGCAGCAATCTCAAACAGATCTTGAAATATGGGTGGATGAAACTCATGAATACCTGCATGGCTAAATACCTCTTGAGGTGAATGGAAAGGGTTTATTTGTGTTGCACCTTTCACACACAGATTTATAAACAAAAACTGACCTGTTCTCACTGAGGTCAGCCACCGACGACACCAGCTCATTACTGATGAACTTCTTGGTGACCTCAGGGTCCGCCAACATCAGACTGCGGACTGTGCTGCAAGCCGTTGCTATAGTTTCATCAGAGTTTCCCATCTCTCGTGGGCTGGAGGTGAGGAGGCCGGTGAGTTCAGGCAGAATCTGCTTTGCTACACAGAAGAAAAAGGAAACATTCAGTGAATCAGTTTTACGTTGACTAACTTTACATCCATGTCTGCTGCCTGTGACGCACACATCAACAACATTCCTCACCTATGGGGGTCTGCAAGCTGTCGTTCCGAGACATGTTATTCAGCAGGGACATGGCGGCCTTCTGCAGGCTGCGGTTGGGAGACTTCAAAAGAGCGGACAGGTGCAGCAGAGCCCCCAGCTTTTGAACCAGAATCTGGCTCATGGCACTGGAGCCCTGAAAGAGAAGCAAAGACCATACAGAAGGGGGAAAACACATTAGCTGTATCTCCGACCTCTCTGTAGCAGTCCATGTGACGCATGTGTCACATGTCGTGCCCCAAGATTTTTGATCCATAGAAGCAGCTGATGACTGTAAACATGATCATTACAGGTGGTTTCACAATATTTGACATGTGCATCTCATTTTCCTTTGCTCTAACTTCTCATTTCTTTCTCTAATAATCTCTGAATCAATGGAGACAAAACTCCACTCTTTCTTATAAAGCTACTCAATTGTGCTGTTGTATCATTATCCTGACCACATCTCATGTCTCTCTGTTGCTTTTCTCCTTTCTTAAATCAACCTGAGTTAATCCAAAATGTCCATTAACACCTCACACAAACAGTAAGCCTAATAATCATCTTCCTTGTACTCACCAGTCCCTTGCTGGCAGTGAGGTTCTGCAGGGCGCCACAGCAGGCCTCCAGGGTGGCACCTTTCTGGGACGAGCCCAGCAGTGACAGGTAGGTCTGCATGGCTTTTGGATGGCACAACCACTTAACACCTGATGGGGTGCTGTCCTCTGGCAGTTTGTCAAATGAAAACTGAGTAGAAAGGACAAAAAAGAAATGAGAAGGGAACGGGGCTTTGATTAAAGGCCTGTCGTGATTTAGCCACTGAACATGAGGTGGTGGTGTGGTGGTTGATGCCAACCTCCTTCTGAGCCTTGCCGCTCTTCGGGCTGAAGCATCCAATCGGGGCGTTTTTCTTATTCCCAATTTGGCCTTCCACCGGAGGTTGGAACCTGCTGAAGCATTCAGGGGACTCGGCCTCCAGTTGGTAGGTCAGGTTATGGAGGATGCATGCACAGTTCTCCACAGACTGGAGGAGAGGAGAGGTTATTAAAAAACAGCAAATGATATGATGATGTGATTCTTGTTTGCAAGTTTCCCAATGACATCACAAACTCTTTATTCACTGCCACTATATGATAAAGGAAGACCCCATTTGTGGTTATTTATTCTGCATCTGGGTCTCAAAGGAACTACTCTCAAGGTTTACTCTCATTCAAACTCAAATACAAGCATTTAAAATTATTTTTAAAATTGAAATAAATTGATTACTGGAATTTCCAGTGTGTCAATTTGGCCGGCCCACTAACAGCACTCAATTTCTTTTTAATTTGTGGTTCACATTCCCTCGTGATTAAGCATGCATCTAATAAGTTCTTAAGCAAGTGTCAGTCTTTATGTTCATTTAACAGGAAATGGAAACGGAAGTCTTCTAGCTTGGCACTGTCAGACCAGTTTGCAAATGTGAAATTAGTCTGGAACCTCTCAGTTAATTTTTGATTTACAAGGGTGTCATTTGCAGCCGTAGATGGATGGACCTATAACCAATTAGAGCAACAAAACGTGACGTAGCGCTTAACGATGGATGATTTTAAACAGCGTGCAGAGATGAGGTGTGATGGTGTAGAATCAAGATGTCTGCGAGCGAGTGTTGCGGTTTCGCCATTAGAATTTTAAAATAGCTCTTCAACTGAGAGTTCAACATCAGCTGCAGCCATCTTGGTTGTTTTCAAAAATGGCTCAATGGCGTCTTTCAAGGCTAGGTTTATGCTCGCTGTAGTGTCCCCGGTGCAAGGGTGTACAAACTATAAGTGACATCATCACATATTTTGCATAAAGCACAAAGGCTTTGCAAGTTTTCAGTCACTGTATCAAACATGTGCCATATTAGATAAACAGTTGTGATAGGCCCAAAGCTGGCAAGGTTGGCTAGCAATCTGTCTAAAGACCAAACCAGATGCATCTGCCAGAGCAAATAAATGTGAACTGGCAGATTCATCTTGTTCCCAGGCTATAATTCTTCTAGCAATGCAACAGAAACAGGCTAACCAAAATAAACTACTGGATGTAAATTCATTTGGGTTTAGATAATAAGGATTGATTAACATTACAATGGTCTCACTCAGAAAGTCAGTGAGACATAATAATATGATGAAAACATAGTAATTCCACCAGAAACTGGGACATAAACGCAGAGACCGCTCCACTTTAGAAGCCTTCTGAAAGCTTGATCACAGAGTTATTGCGACGGGATCGGTTCTCAGGGTCATCAGTCTTCTCTAACTCTTTATTCTCTTGCTGTAGTTTTCCAAGTGTTTCTCCAAGCTTGTCAGCCTATCTATGGCCGGGCTTCCTCCACTTCAGCAACGTGAGGCTTATTTGTCAATGTTTTTGCAAAGTGCATCTAGGGATTGGTTTACAGATGCGAGGGAACTTGCATTTTGGACGAGATGGCAATGTGGGTCTTCTCAGGTGGAGGTGCAGAGATAGACAAGACCCCCTCTGTCTTGAGAGCTGTGCTGTGTCTCAAATCGCATACTTCTGTACTTACACTTAATATTTTGAGTGCATAAGTACGTTCACACTGAGAAGTATGGAACAATGCAGTGCACTATGAGTACCTGGATGGTGCACTCAAAACGGTCAAGAAGCTGAGTGTGGAACTATGGACACTTGGCTACGTAGCGGAAGGGGAGGGACCACTTTTAAAACTGGAAATGGCGGCTGAGGACTGTGCGACCGTGAACATTGCTGCATTGTACAAATACATGTGTTTTTTGCACTAAGCACCACTATACTGTTGTCGGGTATAAGCCAGCAGTATGTTTGTTGGGTTAATTTAGCAGTCTGTAATGATTTGGAACGATAGCGCGAATGCTAATGCTAGTTTGCAAGCTAGCCAATTTGCGGTCATCATTTCCAGTGAGTGCACAACGGCCGTGTTTGGTTTGAGACAACACTACCCTGTCGAAATTTGCGCACTACGCCAATAAGTACATAGTGCACATAGTATATACATACAAGTGTACTAACAGAAGTACATGATTTGAGACACAGCACTGGTGTTGCTAGTTAGCCCCCAAGCTAACGGGCTATTGCTAGCTAACCAGTCAGCTTGGGCCGTAGTTTTCTCTTTTAGAGTGGATGCTTTGTTTTTTCCCGATGTAGCTGGGACTACAGCTGTACTCGAGTTAGTCTACTTCACTGCAGCTGTAAATTCTCACAAATGGTGGTATATTATGGACATATATTGATCTATATACACAGAGCTACTCGCCGCACGTTCTCTCTAGTCTGTCGCCATGGAAATCAGGATGAAAACATAGAGATAAAGCTACATGTATACAGAGTATATCACTAAAACCATTATAGCATCAACATGCATAAAGCATGGCGACTCTCTTCTTCCTTATCTACAGTAACAGTTTAGGATAAGAGGATAACTCTCCCTCTGTCTCTTACACAGACACAGTCACACTCCACCACCACCACTTCATTAGAAGGAGTCTATGTAAACAGTGTTTGCACAGACATAGAATTAAACACACATCCACACCCCAAACTTCCACAAATGAGCAGGTATGAGCACCCGCTAAACATACTCCACATGCTGACTCCGCCTGCAGTATTTACCTGCTTGTGTGTGTGTTTACGGATGTGTTTCTAAGCGTATGTATTGTATGTGTGAGTACATGTGCTTCAGGATATATTATTATGTGTACTGAACACTTTCTGTGAGAGACACACATAAGACACGTTCGACAGGAACTATGAGTGAACTAGAACACGTCACCAGACATGAATCCAAACACTCATCTGCTCACACAATCATAATCCAGTATTAGACGCACAACGTGTGTGGGCTTCTAGACAGACTGTGAAGCAATCGTTAAAAACTGTGATTAATGCCACTTTCAGTACAGGTGGGCTGCAAACAACAAATATTCCCTTTATTAAATGATTAATTGTTTTATAAAATATCTAAAAAGAGACAAGAGCATAAAAGCAATTGTAATGTATCAGTAGACTGAAAAATCTTTTTATATTTCCTTTACAGTGGCCGACAATCAACAAAATGGACGAAGTTGCTGGAATAAAATGAGTCATAGCCAACTCTGATGCAGTCTTTGTGTGGAGACAAATGCTCGTGGTGGACAGGAAAAGGTTCTGCTGATAGCGATGAGTAACTTTACCTTGTCATCGGGGTTCTCCTCCGCCACACAGGACTGGACGTAACTCATGAGGGAGTCAATGAGGCCGCGGCACTCTCTCATCGCCTGCCTCTCCTTCTTCTGGGCGCAGCTCAGGTTCCTATACACATTTCAACCACCATTCATTTAAATTCAAAGGGAAACACTAACATATCTAGAATACAATAATAGACACAGAACCGTGAGTGTCTCAACATGTAGGTTGCACCGTCATGCCCTGTATGTAAACATGATCGCAGAGATTAGGCACAAGGTGCAGAGAAGTTTCTAAAGCTGTGCCAGTATTAAGTTACAGTGAAGACTGTTGTTTAATTCACTTTCACTTCACACAACTGTCAACTAAGAAAAACACTCCTCTTGTGCAAACTGCACACATATCACATGAAGAACCTGACTAGGTGCTGCATCAAAGACAAGACAAAGCAGTGTTTTGACTACGGATGCAAATAAGGATTATTTTCTGCAAATCATTTTTACATTAATCAATTAATTATTTTGTCTGTAAAATGTCAAAAAATATTGAAAAATATCCATCATATTTTCTCAGGAGTCCCAGGTTACATCTTCAAACATCTTGTTTTGTTTGAGCAACAAACCAAAATCCAAATATATTCAGTTTACAATTAAATAAAACATCAGAAGCTGGAAAGATTTTTGGCTCTGTTGCTTAAAAAAATGACTTAAATCATTTAACTTTCTAGCTATTGACGGATTGACATCACAAAGTCTTCACAAAAATGTCTCTGACCTCAAAACGTTGCTCAGCTTAATAAAACCTTTGGGAACTATCTGCTATGATAAACGGATTAATGAACCAAATGTCCTCACCGCAGGCATCCTGTGGCATTGTAGAAGACATCAGGGTGAATGTTGTTGTTGACGCTGTTGTCTGACCAGCAGGTGAATGGCACCACCACATTTTCAGTCAGGGCGGGCAGCGCTGTGGCTATAAGTTCTTCCTTCAGCTCATCGGCAGAGGAAAGGTTCCATAGCAGGCCTTCATGTGATGAGAAGAGTAAAGTTAAAAATCCAACTGTGCATTTCTGATAAAAGTAATTGATCCATGCATCACGCTGTTGCTCTTTGAGGTGAAGTTTGCTCTTAAAAACATGATGTTATACTTAGAAAAGATCAAAGAACCTCCAACAAAAGTAGAGTGGATAGTAATTTTAAAGGAAATGTATAACATGGAGAAATTTATTTTAAATTAAAATCTGTGTTGTTTTTATTATTTTATTATTATAATTTTTACTATTAGTATTATTATCATTATTATTATGTTTGGAATCAATTAGTTATTTTTTTATTATCATAATTATTGTTAGCTTTTATTTATTTGATTTTATTGCATTTATTTATATTTGTTATTTTCTATATATCTATATTTTTTTTCCCCAAGTGTGTTTTTCCCATGGCTGTTGTTTGTTTGTATGAACATACAATATTTTATACCGATACCATATTTTATTTTTATAGATGATGCTTCACAAAAAAAACATTAAGATAAAAAAAATACAAATAAAAAAAAAGAATAAATAAAATTAAACATAAAAAAAATACAAAATAAAATAAAATAGAATAAAATAAAAATAAAAATTGAGGCACTGAACAAAACGGTTATCGCACTGATTCACATGTGAATATGGATATGGTGCAGTAAGGAGGAATATTAGCACTTAGATTTTCCTAGCCTTTGTGTATATGATATTGTCTGTATTAAGCCTGTATCCTCATCATTATTATTTACTATTATTACTAAATGTATGTCCTCTTTGTCTACTGAGTAAATTTAGGATCATAAATTGTAAATTTATGCACACTGGACAGGTGAAGACTGTGTGTTTCTAATAGGCCAATTATCTTTTTTTTTTAATTTTTTCTATGTCTTTATTTTGCAGTCTTTAGGTTCAGCTTAAACGTACAATTAAAGTAAAAAACACAGCATTATGTTCAGCACATGTTCCTGCTCAGTCTGTGTGATATTTAGAGATGAGGCATAGGCTTTGTCTTTTTAGTAAAGGCCAGAGGTAGGACGTTGTCGTTGTTTTGCAAGTCACAAGTAAGTCTTGATTCTTTGCACCGAAGTCCCAAGTCAAGACTGAAAAGTTCCAAGTCATACCAAGTCATAATGTGTGCCTTACCAAATGCTTTTTAAAAATTTGTGTTTGTCAAAACAAGTTTATTGGAAGCTGTTGCACCTCCATCTGTCTTTTTGACCCACACGCTTTGCATGCTGAAATCTGTTTTTTGTTGACCACGGCACAGTCTTTGTACGCTAACAATTTGTCATGTCATTTATTTTTTATGATTCTGTCCTGCAACTTAATAAATGACAGGTTGGTTCAAACAATCTGGCTCTTCTGGGTTATTATCAGAAAATGAAGAGAAATTATTTTATTTGTGACACACTTTTTTAAAATGCCATACTCTTTGATCTTTGCTTGGGGAAAGGTATCAAGTATTCTCAAGTCAAAAGGCTCAAGTCCATGTGAAGTCACAAGTCATCGTTAAGTTGAGCTGAAAGTCTTTCTTGGTTTTGTCAAGTCAAGTCCACACGTTTGGTAAAGGCCCACTCAGCCACCCTACTACCCAATATTCTGAGGTCCCAATAAAAATGTCCTACCAGTGATTTGTTTCTGGGTGTCAGTAGAATCTGTCTCCTTCAGCAGCTGCAGGGCCTTGGCTATGCCGCCACAGTGCTGAACCTCCAGCTTGTTGTCCTGGTCCTTGAACACCAGGTTCCTCAGAGCCCCAGCGGCAGCCTGGCTCACCACAGTATTGGGGCTCCGCAGCAGGGTCACCAGACCGGGGATACCTCCTAGCTGGAACACCTTTGATGCAGAAATGTGGAGGGAATGTGTGTTGAAAATGTGAAACTTAAAGGCGTGGCAATGAATTTCCAACACTACAAGTTACAAACAGAACCAGCAGCCAAGTGCGATGATAAATGCTTTCTCCCTTTCCCTCAAGGCAGGTTATGCAAAGGTCTCCGCAGAGTGTTTGCAATGATCGTATAAGCACAAACAGACAACCCACACACAAATGGGATGTGAGGGTAAACAACATCCATGTGTGTGTGTGTTTGGAGGGGGTATCTGCGCAGTATATTGTGTGCAAGTGCTCAGACCTGCTGTTTGGCGCCCTCCTCTTTGAAGGTGGTGTGGTGGATGAAGGTGGCTCCACACTGCTGGTAATTCTCTTCAGGGTGAGACAGGAAATCTACAGCCTCCTTTAGAGTCATGTCTGACACGTTTACTGCGCTGTTCACCCTGCAGTTATGGGCACGGGAATAGAAGAGAGAGGGAGAAATTAGATAGTAGAAAATAGCTTCTGATGCATTTTAAAGATAATGAGCTGCTCTTTTGTCACATAATACCTGGTTGAAATCCCAGACAAATTCATGGGTCAGCGTGAGTATGTTTTTTAAATACACCTGGGTGCTAGCAAGAAAGCACGGAACATGGAAATGGCTGCAGCCAATCCTTCCAACAAAAGATGACTGGGCTGCAGTTGTCAACAACAATATGGAGAAACTGACCTCTAAGTTGAGACTGAGATATGATCAATATGTAAAATACTAGCAAATATTAACTACATATATGTTGCTATAGGATATATGTCATGTCAACCCCTTCTTATTGCCTAAAAAAGTCAACAGAGAGGTGAAGTCCCTCCCCTTCCAGTGGGCCAGCATGGGACCTCATTTCGCAAAAAATATGTGGATCCCTTTTGAATTGTGTCGTGAATTCAATTTATGATGTTTGTAAATTTAAAAGGTAATTTTGCAAGTCAAGAAAGTTGCAGTTGAAGTATAAGTCTGTGAATATACGTAATTAGAAACGTAATGTCTAAGTGACATCTGGGATCTATACACACGAGCAACGGTTGCTTATTCCTTTGCTTCCTGGGAGCTAAAAAAAGACCACAAGTTGCTGGATAAAACGCGTCAAGTAAGTAATTTGCTTAAAAATACATTACAGTGTTTAACTATTTACACATTTATGTTCACAATTATTATTTACATATTTACATGTTAAAATATTGACAGCAGCATTGTTAAAAACAGTTAAATAATGTGCTGGATCTGCCTCAGTAACTCTCACACACATTTACCTCAGTCTAAGTCCTTCTAGAGATCTCACTGGTTAGTTAGGAGACATGTGACCCATAGCAAGGAAGTGTAACCAGGAAATGTTGTTATGAAACTGCAGAAGTGTGGAGAAAAGTAAAGTGCTGTTTAAGAGAGTATCTGTCTCCATCCTGCTGCGTACTCTATGTCACGAGAGTGACCCGACCACCATACGTCGAACCCTCACACTACACTAGCTAGCTGTATGTCATGGCACAATTCATAAAATCAAAATAGATCAAAAAATTAATTTGTCTCTCCCTGTCGACAACCATACATAGTCTTTACAAAATAAGGACGGGGAAGAGCTTTGAGTCTATATGAAAGACAGATAAGCAGGAGAACTCACGCTGATTGCTGCTCGATCTTGGACATTTTGATGGTCCCCATCTTGCCCTCAGTGTGAGAATGGACAGAGGGCGGCGAGACGATGCGTTGCTGGCTGCTGGTCATCTGGTTGCCGTTGGTCATAGAATAGGTGCTGTGTCTGTTAACTCGAGTCCGGAGGCTCTGCTGGTTCTGGACCACCTGCCCTTTGGCCCTCTGAAGACAGAGAAATTACTTCCCTAAGAACAACATGGAAAAGGTGACACTGTAATTTCACACAAAAAAAGAGAACAAAACTGCTCACCATAACAGGTGCAGGGACAGAAAAATGGCGAGCCAAGGCTGGGTCACTGCGAGCGGTTTTCAGCCCGTTGGAGCCCTGGGCCCAGTTGTTGGCATTGATGTTTTGGTCCCATGTGCCTGAGGTGCTGTACATTCTTCCTCCCATGGTTTTAGCGGACAGAGTGCGACTCCTCTGAGTATGAACCTAAAAGGAAGGAATGTCAGAAGGGTTTTAGATAAAATAATACTTTTTTAAAATTTGGTCCTGCACAGCATTTTATTCTGATCAGACTGAAAAATAGCCCCAAAAATACCTTTAACCACTGCATCATCTGAAAGGAAATGTTGTTGTTTTTTTTTAACCTGGACCCAATGCTCTATATTTTAATGCCTAAGTGACTAATGGAGACAATTTTTGAAATTGGTCCAGTATTGACCAAGACTGTTGCGTGAAACTAGCTGTAATTTCTGCGGGCACTTGTGCACCGTCAAGTTACGTCAATTAAAAGTGCTAATATTTGCCACTGACAGGTTCAGATTGTTATTAGAGATGTACCGATATCACTTTTTCCTTCCCGATTCCGATCCCTGAACCTTAGGTATCTGCCGATACTGAGTACTGATCCAATACCAGCGCGTAAAATAAAAATGGATGGGATATGAATTGTTGTATGTCTCAACTCCTAAAAATAAATACATAATAGTAGAATGAATGCCATAAAACTTTTTTTATTATTATTATCCAGTGCTGACACAGATCAAGACACAGGTTAAAGTGTAGCCACACAATTTGGCAAAAAAGACATTTTAAAGGCTACAGTAGAATGCTTTTTAAACTCCGCTTCGTTTCCATTTCGTTTGCCTGTAGTGTGCATATGCGTAATGACGTGAGGCATTACGTGGTATTGGATTTTAGGCAGTATCAGAGGCATTTCCGACACTGGTATTGGTATCGGTACAACTCTAATTGTTATTATGAGTGTCTGATACCACTGAGGAAAAGACCTTATAGAGAAATGAAACATTTTTCCTTATGTTTCGCTGATCTGGTCTGTTTGTTAGTGTGTGTAACCAAGTTTCACTCAAGGACAAGTCTTGTTCTGAAATCTTGCAGACTTTCCACAAAATTTCAAAATCAGCTTATATTTAGCCATGACATTGAAAAGGTGGCGCGTTGGTACAGTGGCTGGCATTGTTGCCTCACAACAAGGGGGCTCCTGGCTCCTGTGTCAGCGTGGGTTTCTCGGGGTACTCCAGCTTCCTCCCACAGTCCAAAGACATGCAGGTTAATTGGTGACTCTAAATTGTCCATAGGTGTGAATGTGAGTGTGAATAGTGAATGAAAAATTTGATGGCACGGGATTCGATTGTGGAAAAAAAAAAAAAAAATTCAAATATTCGGCCGTTTTTTTCTCCTGTTTTTTGGGGGGACCTTGAACGCAACACCATCTCCGACAAGGAAACAGAAACCCCGACGTGCGATGAATGGAGACCTCTTGAACACAGACGACTAAATTCTTTCAACAATGTGACTCAAAATAATGATAAAATAGATTTTACTGATGTAAAATAATATGCTGATGGTGACAGTTTCCACCGGTCCACTGCGCTGAGTCTGGTGTCAGTGACACATGCTGCTCTGAGTCGCGCGTCTGTCTGCTTGCGCTGCAGTGCGTGCCGAGGGTTTTAATGTTTAGTGTTAAATCAAAAGTTAAACACTACTTATCAGCAACCAGAAGTGTTCTTTCATTTGTGAATATTTTTATCTTAATTCTAGGGTTACAAGAAACTACCTTATTAACTTTTTTTTTCACTCAGTTTTGCCGCAGTGGCTGCAGCACGCTCTTTCTCAATACTGGGAACATGGGAAAACAGAGCCCAGATTGAAGGATACCTAAGTTTCCCTTTAAGCTTTTCTGTAGCAACAATCCAGGTCACACAGGAAAAGTACCCACTTTCCACTAGGACAGTTTTCAAAGAAGTCCCCTGTAAACCAAGACAGCGGAATCTAACCTGACACAAAGCCTGCATACCTTCTCCCCCTCCTCAGTTTATGCTGAAAGCAACAGAACGCACCAAACGATCACACATACCAAAGTAACATAATATCTGTCATCGGAGACCAACACAAGCAGTTGCATTGGAAGAGTGCTGATACAGCCGACCAGTTTCTCACAGAGGATCTTTGTGTGTGCAAGTCACACACAGCACCCGTTAATCCTGTCTTCACGATCCTGACGTCACTAATGAGCTTAATCTCATGTAATTATATCTCGTTAGTGTATCGATTTATTGGCTTCATCTGTGTGTGTGTATGTGTGTGTGTACAGTGAACGTTATTCAAGCTTTGCCACAAAATAACCGAGAGAAACTTGGCAGAGCCTGAGCAAAATGACAGAACATGTCGAGCTGATGCTTCAACAGTTAGTCATTCTTGCAACCAAACCTCTGACTCCCATTGGCTGATTTAAAAAAAAAAAATTAAAGTCACATCACAAGTCTGGCAGCAGAGAACATTCCCATCGGTCTTTGAACCCACACTGAACATTAATAAGGAAGACAGACTGCACCAATGATCACCTGAAAACCATTAACATCACAGCTTAAGAACACATAACAAAGAAATATTGTCTAATGGGAAAGCGGGTGACACACACACACACACACACACACACACACACACACACACACACTGTAGGTTATGCACGGACTCTCTTTCCTGTTTCAAACCAGACTGGTCGTTCAGTCACCAGCAGGCTCTGCTACTTAGCAGCAAAAGCGTAATGGAGGAGAGATCTGTCAACAACGTGCTCGATAAGAACTGACAGCGTGTTTACTCTCCAAGTGCTACATGCCCCCTTTATTTGGCTACAGGCTGACTGAGCTGCCGGGGCCTCTCTACCATCAGACTGGACAGCAGAGACGGATGCAAATGTAGCAGAGCAAACAGAAGCAGCACAAACAGCAGGATGCATCTCATTCAGGGTCATACATTTAGGAAGAGATGCCAAAATATTACTGCATTTACTGTTCCATAGAAAGCGTGATCACATTTTAAGCAATATCAGCAACTCAAAACTTCTGCATCACTTGCCATGTACGAGCCACAATGTATTTAACCTCTGTTGTTTATTACTTGTTTAGGCTGCACACGTTCTTTTGGTCACTTTCACTTCCTGTAGATGTAATTGGGACAGGGGTGTGGTTTCACCTTATTTTACCTGCTCATTCGCTGGTGTGGCGGCTTGTGATCAAAGGGTGTGAGTTTTTCTGTTGACTGAAATATAACGCAATGTAATGATTCATTTCATGTCGTTGTGCCTCAGGTATCCCTGTTGCATCTCTGGACTTCGGCAGGAATTTCATTGAACGAGTCACAGTTTCGAGTCTACTCAGCCTCTCAGTGGCTTCTTCACTGATAGTTTCATTAATACTACATGCCATTTAGATTGTGCCTCTGAGTGGTGCGTCTCTGCTGCTCTATTAATCGCATAAACTGTCTGTCTGCCTGTTTACAAGCTCTCACACAACTTGAGCAGTACAATCCAAATCTCATTTATCCAGTCAGATGCTCAGTACTTCCCAAACACATGCATTTTGGCTAAAACTGTAAGATTTAAAACTGAACTGAAAGTGAAAAATGCATGTGCACTGAGCTACGCCTAGATAAATGAGACTTGGATTACACTGCAGGGGTTGTTTGAGACTTTGTAAATGGATGATTTGATCTAGTTTTGCCGATGTTAAGTGCAGTCCTCAATCGATCAGTTCATATGTTTGCTGTTGTCTGCGGAGGCATGCCAGGAGAACAAAGTTTTCTTTGCAATTTCAAGGTAGAACTGGTTGACTGATTGATATAAAAATGATCAATTTGTGGGTGAAGTATTAGTATATAGGAGAGTTTCTGATTTCACTGACTAAATGTTGTGATGTAAAAAAGAGTCCACTGGTTCAACTTTTAAAAGAATTAAGGTAAGGATTTGCAGGCATCTTTTTAAGCAGTTCCAACTCTGACGTTATTGAGCTAATCTTATGAGTCCTCTATAATCTGACAAACTTAATTAGTTAAGTACGACCAACATTTGCTCTGTCCCCAAAAAGCTTAATTAAGTTGAATCAACTTAATATTTATCTAAAAGTTGTGGTGACATTCAGTAGTCAAATTATATTATATAATACGGTGGTTCCCAACAGGTCCAGCCACGGGGTCCAGATTTCTCCTTAGTCATTAGTTAAAGGTGCAACCAGTTTTTTGTTTTTTTTAAGATTATTTTCTGGGCACAGTTTAATATACAGTACAGGCCAAAAGTTTGGACACACCTTCTCATTCAATGCATTTTCTTTATTTTCATGACTATTTACATTGTAGATTCTCACTGAAGGCATCAAAACTATGAATGAACACATGTGGAGTTATGTACTTAACAAAAAAAGGTGAAATAACTGAAAACATGTTTTATATTCTAGTTTCTTCAAAATAGCCACCCTTTGCTCTGATTACTGCTTTGCACACTCTTGGCATTCTCTCCATGAGCTTCAAGAGGTAGTCACCTGAAATGGTTTTCCAACAGTCTTGAAGGAGTTCCCAGAGGTGTTTAGCACTTGTTGGCCCCTTTGCCTTCACTCTGCGGTCCAGCTCACCCCAAACCATCTCGATTGGGTTCAGGTCCGGTGACTGTGGAGGCCAGGTCATCTGCCGCAGCACTCCATCACTCTCCTTCTTGGTCAAATAGCCCTTACACAGCCTGGAGGTGTGTTTGGGGTCATTGTCCTGTTGAAAAATAAATGATCGTCCAACTAAACGCAAACCGGATGGGATGGCATGTCGCTGCAGGATGCTGTGGTAGCCATGCTGGTTCAGTGTGCCTTCAATTTTGAATAAATCCCCAACAGTGTCACCAGCAAAACACCCCCACACCATCACACCTCCTCCTCCATGCTTCACAGTGGGAACCAGGCATGTGGAATCCATCCGTTCACCTTTTCTGCGTCTCACAAAGACACGGCGGTTGGAACCAAAGATCTCAAATTTGGACTCATCAGACCAAAGCACAGATTTCCACTGGTCTAATGTCCATTCCTTGTGTTTCTTGGCCCAAACAAATCTCTTCTGCTTGTTGCCTCTCCTTAGCAGTGGTTTCCTAGCAGCTATTTGACCATGAAGGCCTGATTGGCGCAGTCTCCTCTTAACAGTTGTTCTAGAGATGGGTCTGCTGCTAGAACTCTGTGTGGCATTCATCTGGTCTCTGATCTGAGCTGCTGTTAACTTGCGATTTCTGAGGCTGGTGACTCGGATGAACTTATCCTCAGAAGCAGAGGTGACTCTTGGTCTTCCTTTCCTGGGTCGGTCCTCATGTGTGCCAGTTTCGTTGTAGCGCTTGATGGTTTTTGCGACTCCACTTGGGGACACATTTAAAGTTTTTGCAATTTTCCGGACTGACTGACCTTCATTTCTTAAAGTAATGATGGCCACTCGTTTTTCTTTAGTTAGCTGATTGGTTCTTGCCATAATATGAATTTTAACAGTTGTCCAATAGGGCTGTCGGCTGTGTATTAACCTGACTTCTGCACAACACAACTGATGGTCCCAACCCCATTGATAAAGCAAGAAATTCCACTAATTAACCCTGATAAGGCACACCTGTGAAGTGGAAACCATTTCAGGTGACTACCTCTTGAAGCTCATGGAGAGAATGCCAAGAGTGTGCAAAGCAGTAATCAGAGCAAAGGGTGGCTATTTTGAAGAAACTAGAATATAAAACATGTTTTCAGTTATTTCACCTTTTTTTGTTAAGTACATAACTCCACATGTGTTCATTCATAGTTTTGATGCCTTCAGTGAGAATCTACAATGTAAATAGTCATGAAAATAAAGAAAATGCATTGAATGAGAAGGTGTGTCCAAACTTTTGGCCTGTACTGTATTTTTAACATCATACTCGCAATTTGCCATGACGTCGAGCTAGTTTATGTGTCTGTCAAGTAGCTGTCTGTTAATCATTTACTCTACAGCAGGAAACTGCACTTCAAAATAAAAGCTCTGTGCTGTATATTTACTGCACTTAAAAATAAAGAGTGTTTTTTTATGCACTTGAGACGTTTGCAAGTCACTTGTGGTCCTTTCAGAATGGACTCAGGACCCACTTTTGGACCATGACCCACCAGTTGGGAGCCACTGGTTTAAGATAGTCCAGCTTATTTATTTTAATTCCATCCTACACAAATATAATTATACTGAAAACCTATTTATATTAAGCATTACCCTCTAATATAAAAGTGCGAAAAATGTCACTGTCGACAATACAAACCAAAAGTCAAGAAATATGTGGCATGCTTAAACTTAACTTTATTAGGTTATATCTCTCTGTCACTTTTTAATATGTGAATTGTTTTGTGTTGCTGTTCTTGTTCGGCTTTTTATCGTACATTTATTTTTGTTCCTTCACTGAGAAAAAACATATTTCTGCAGTTGTATTCTGTGGTATCGCTTTCATTCAATACAGCAGTGCTAATACATGCTCTACTGTATGACATGGGTGATTTAAGGTGATATATATATATATATATATATATAAGACAAGAAAGTAGAAAGTAGACTTAAGTGGTAATTGAACTTAATGCGACAGTTGACTCAACAAAATAAATGAAAACACAATATGACAGAGACGGATTAGTGATAATGAGCCCTCCTCAGCATCGTCACACTCCCTAGACATGCCTCGACTCACTGTCAGTAGGTCAGATCAGGCCAACCCAGAGCTGAGACATCTTCACACACACACACACACACACACACACACACACACACACACACACACACACACACACTGATGAAGTCAGCATTACTCCTCTGTGGAATTTGGATTAGGCCAGTATTGCGTATGAGTTGAACTCTTAGTGACAAGACTTAAATTGAGAATGACATACAAAAACAATATCTGTCCCTTTCCAAAATTAGGAAATCACACAAACCTGTGCTGCTGGATACACAGGTCATTATACTCACAGTACAATACAGTGCATAAGACACTGCACCACACACACTCACTGACAGAAGACGACTGGCTAACCAGCAAAGCCATGTGGCTACACCAGGAGTGTGGTGGTAAAGTGTGGTGTAATATTTCAAATAACATCATGAATCAACTGTGACTGAGAGGTGCCTCCCATCTAGTGTTAACACCGACTCAATACCCTCCCAGATTCTGTTACTGCTTATAATTACGTAACCAAAACACAAGCTGTGGGAGCTTTAAGGCATCTTAAAAAGCAGGAAGTGTATCTTTAAATGACCATATCAGCATTTTTGTATGTTTAGCTCTGTTACAAAAACAAAGCCATACATCCTTTGCAGCCAATAACGTTCCAGTATATTATATTTTCTTAAAGGAATACTTGAAACTTGATAGCACTCCCAAGTCTGCCCATTCAATATGAAGCTGGAGCCAGCAGACAGTTAGCTTAGCTTAGCATACAGACCTAAAACAGGGGGAAACAGCTTGCCCGGCTCTGTCCGAAGATAACAAAATCTGTCCACCAGCACCTCCGGATTATGTGCCAGAATATTTCTTGGCTTCCTGGAGACTCTGTGGTTGCCTGAGGTCACTACACCCTGTCCCTGTCAACTGTGAAGCCGCAACTTGTCATTTTTTCAACATTCATTTTTGAATTGATTTAACAAACAAGTTATAGCATGTTCAGTTGTGAGCCTTAGAGGTGCTGACAGGCATATTTAGTTACGTTTGGACAATGCCAGGCTAACTGTTTTCCTGTTTACAGTCTTTGTTGTAAGCTAACAACAACAAGATTACAACAACTATTATTCCTTTAAAGCAGTGGTGCCCAACTGGTCCAACCACAGGGTCCAGGTTTCTCCTTAGTCATTAGCTCAAGGTCCACACAGCTTAATATATTCAACATCATACTTGCTTTTGGCCATGTTGTAGAGCTAGTTCGCCATTTCTGTCAAGTAGCTGTTCATTCATTCACTCTACAGCAGGAAATTCACTTTTGGAGCGTGACCCACCAGTTGGGAATCACTGCTTTAAACTGCTCTGTCTGTCTACACAATCAATTGTATTCATTATTTTTTGTTTTCAAAGGTACGTTATCTTTGAGTGGTAATGCAATAACCAAACAATAACCTTTTTTATGGACAATAACAAATGCAGGTATAACATCATCATGACCTACTCCATGTTTTGGGTTACTGCAAGCATTAAGCATCTTTCATTCAATAGAAAAAGAGTGAATTGAAACAAATGGCGAGATGGAAGAAAACATTTGAAACCCCCAAACCCTAGCAGTGATCCGCAGTAATACACCATAAAATATTTGTGATTGTAGTAAATCTATGGAAGCCCATTGGGGACTTTATTAAAATAATAATGTAAACTTGAACATGAAACCACAACAGAATTAGAATTTTCCACGTATGTATGCACTATTTGAGTAAAAATTACAATGAAAATACAACCGCCTAATTTTAATTTTCACATACTTGTATGGGGGCTCTATGACCATATTAAATTTAAATGGAAAAGCTGTTTGACATTTAATTTTCAAAGTTGTACCCTGCTTATAGTGGTCAATATGCAAATGATAATTCATATTTAAAAATTTAAATTCAATCTAAACAATGTAACCTGCTTTTCCATTTATTTATGCAAGTTAAAATGAAAAAGAAAATGCATTTTTTTTGACAATTCAAAAATGAAAATGACAGTCAATATTTCAAAGACTTAACCTGCTGTACAGTGGATAACATTTAAATGTTATATCAATTTGAAAATTAAAATGCATAATTAACAATGTAGTCTAATGTCTCATTTGTGCAGCTTATTTAAGTCGATCAAAATTAAAATGCTGTTTTCTAACATTTAAAAATAAAATTTGACATTTTGGTCCTAAATGTGAAAATGATGATTAGTTCACATTATCATCAATAAAATCCCCTTTGGGCTACCAGAGCAAACCACTGATTTGCACCTTTAAAGTTGTATCTGTGCGAGGGGAAAGGCTCTGACTATCTGCACATCTACAAACAGGGCTGTTACATCACAGAAACATTTACCACTTTGTTGAAGCCCGATGACAATGCAGAGCTGGTGCGGCTGAAGGTGCCATTTGCTTTGAATGGAGCAAACTTGAAGGTTCCAAACTCACTTGTCGTCAAAGCCGGAGGAGACAGGCCTGTTGAAAGAGGAGACGTATGAGAACTGAAATACACAACAGATAGACACAGAGAAGAAGAAGAAGAAGAAGAAGAAGAAGAAGAAGAAGAAGAAGAATGTGAAATAGGCAGTCAGACAGTTTTAACCTCAACATGTTACTTGGGGCGAGTGTGATAAGACCTCCAATGAACACCAAACACACTGGTAACAGCATGAGGGTGTTGTTGAAAATGTGATTTGGTGGTTGGTTGATTTTTTCCTTAATGGGGGCTTCAGTTTCCCAATCTGTGTTTTACTTGCACTCACTTTTACTTGCATTTTATAATTTATAACTATGTACAAAATATATGTCCACATGTTTTTGGTAAACAAAGATAGCCTTACATAATGATAGCCTTTTAATAAAAGTGATTAAGTGAATGATATTCTATTAGGGAATAAAAGAGGGTTTAGAAGACTTTACAAATGAATAACATATTGCGCAAATACAAAAATCATATTAAAGAAAATGATAAAAAAAACAATGTAAGAAGCAATTTTAAATGCATTTAATATATTTAAACATTATTTAAATGATGTTTAAAGGGATAGTTCTGTTTTTTTGAAGTTGGGTTGTATGAGGTACTTATCCATGTCAGTTTGGAGAAGCAGCCTGGAGTCCGACACAGAAGCTAAGCAATGCACTGCTGTGGATGGGGTCAGCAACAAAATGTATTAAAGTCACCTAAAAACAGTCCCACCTAAAAACATCAATATCAGTTTAAGTGTATGCTTTACTGAGAGTATTTTCATCGCTTAACCTTTCCGTCAGACAGCCCGTTCCACCGGGAAAGCCATCCATCTATACTCTGGTCAATGTGACCAGACTCCATTGACAAAAACAGTGATTTTAGCATGCTGAACACGGGACCTGCTGGTCTATCACTGTTTCAAAAAGCTAGTTAGTTTGTGTTATTGTGTGACTTTGGTGGATCTGAACTAAACCTTTTATATGCCGAAGTCACACAATAACACAAACAAACAAGAAAAAGGATATGCAGTGTCAGACCAGCAGCTCCTGTGTTCAGCAATGTTAAATTACTGGTTTTCTCAATGGAGTCTGGCTTTGAAGACAGCGATAGGACGGCATGTTTTTTCCCATTGTAAATCACTGTCTGACATTAAGGTAAAGCATTGAAAATACTCTCAATATAGTGTAAACTTAAACTGATATTGATGTTTTTAGGTGGGACATTTTTTAGGCAGCTAAAATGCGCTTTGTGGCTGACCCCATCCACAGCAGTGCATTGCTTAGCTTCTGTGTCAGACTCCAGGCTGCTTGTCCAAACTGGGGGCGTGCCAGCTGACATTTACTGTATGTAATATACTGTCTAGGGAAACGTACCCTATACAACCCCACTCCAAAAAACTGAACTATCCCTTTAATTAACCATTTGATCCTCTATTTTTCGTTTACTAACTCTGTTATTATTTATGATTTTAGATTGTTGTGGCAACATTTTGGTAAATCTGCCCAAAGAGCTCACTTAATCTGATTGAATGCATGAGTGTTTTGTTGGATATTAACAAATATTCACTTTAATTAGATCCATTTACTGATCGATTGATTCAATATTTTGTAAAGTATTACATTAAGTTTCTGAATCAGTGGCTGAAATGGTTAATAATTTGAGCTTTGCTGTAAACAAAATATTCACTTGTAAATTATTTCAACAATTATTCTTTGGCTGTTCAGTTCATTATCAAGTAATGGATGTCAAAGCATGATTTTGCTGTGTACCTTTTGTGTTGACAAAAACAGCTGAGAAGACTCTGACACACATATTACAGGTTCAAAACTCAGTATAAATACCTGGCAGTCACCAAGTCAGACAGCGGGACAGACATGACATAATGTCAGTCATGAGTCGCCTTACAATTTAAGTGTAAGCTTAGGGAAATTCAGCCGTCACAACTTGTTTTAGCACCTTTGTCTGTCTGCCTCGTTGGATGATTCATGGGAACGTGAGGCTCGCTGCCACATTGTGCCAAATGGAGGGATGTGACTTTACCATTATGGGATTATGATTGTCAAAACAGCGACATATCCATCATCGTTTACATACATAGCATCTGTGCAGGAGAGGAAATATTCACCTATCATAGTTTATCTAGCCGAGCAGATTGTCTTAACTTTATGTCTGCCTCTGAAACCTGTGCTACCATGCTGTATTGTACACTGAAGGAGGCACAGCCAAATTACATGTCCATTTTAGTCCCTTGTGCTGATCATAGAAATGGAAAGAATACATCTATAACACTAGTTTTACACTACATGTCACATTCACCCATTCACACACACATTCATACACTGAAGGCCGAGGCTACCAAACAAGCCGCCACATGCTCATCAGTTAATCATTCACACACACTCACACACCGATGGCACAGCTATCAGTACTGAATCAGTCTTCAATATCTTGCCCAAGGACACTTCAACATGCAGACTGGAGCTGCTGGGATTGAGCTGCCAATCTTCAGACTACATATTTCATCCATATTTTCTGCACGTGGCACAAGTGGCTGAGTTTGTGGCTAGCAACTAACGATGCTAACTCCAAACACAGCGCTATCAATAGCAACAGTGTTGAGAGAACTAACGGTGTTGACCAGGGGGTAACCACACGGTGATGCATTGGGTTGGGACGGTGTTGTCAGCGGTAACCTCTTTGACACACATACACAGACTCAGGGACGGTGAACCACAACAACAAAGAGAGAAGACAAAGATGTTTGGATGACAACTCACGCGGAGTGAACGTGACTTTATTCTGTGGTCGACAGGACGCCATTGCTCCACTACATCCCAAACAGTTGTTTGCTGCTATATTACTGCTCTAAATGTTGTGTACACCTCCTTTAAACATGACAGAACAGAAGTGGTCTTGGGTGCTAACGGGTAAATCCCCAGTGGTCCCAACGGTGAGGGTCTGAATAGTATCATCATCTTTGTCGCTCCAGCACTGAAAGTAAAACGGCTTCTCTCAACTGTAAGTGACTCATGATGAACACTGCTGAACTTGTTCTGTTAAAATTCTGGCAATGTTAAAGTAAAGCACAGCCTCAGGCGTGTATGCAGCTCTGACTGTGTGGCTGTTTTTCTTAATATTCAGTGTTTGACTGTTGTTATGTTTAGTTTAGCTTCATTTTTAGTACACTGAGTTTCTGTTGCATGACTCTAGAAGGAAAGATGATTAAGTAGCTCTTCATTATGTGGAGCACAGATGATAAAGCCTCTCATGCAGGCCACTTTTTCTACCTGTGTTGGGAATTGCAGTCATTTAAACATGCCAGAGGTGAAATTTCACAATCACTGAAAGCTTTGGATGTGTCAGTAAAACAGTAAAACAGTACACAGACAGTTTGACCCACTTTATAGATCACAAATACACCCCTCTGTTTGTGTGTAACACCCCTGCACTTCATCTCAACTCAACAGAAAGGCACACACACATTTCACAACATGAACATATTTTGTTTCTCAATTTTTTGGTGGATCACTTTAATGCATCTTGCAGTAAAAGCCAAATACCAGAGTTGTTTTGAAAGACTAAAATGTAATTTTCTAAATATGTGTGTGTGTGTGTGTGTGTGTGTGGGCTGCATTCCTCAGTACCAGAGAGAAACCGTTGTGGCACGCTCAGAAGAAGTAGGATGTGTCTCTGACAGTTTCTCAGAGCTCAAATATCAAAAATCACTTTCCTCTCACACAGCAGCCAAGGATCACATTTCAACAAATGTTGTCTTTCTCTTACAGTTAACTAGTTTAGACTGGAACAGGAGGAAATGTTTAGCCCAACTTGGAGCCTGCAAAGACGTCATATTGGTGCGCTCTGGTTTCCCTACAGCAGTTGGCCGTTACGCAGTAAGTTCAGCCTGTTTGGACGAGTAGCTGCGGCTGGAGGATGCAACTCCAGGGGAAGTTTTGTGACGCATTATTCCCAGAAAATACAATAAACTCTAATATTAGGTAAGAATTGTAGGAGTAATCTCCAAGAAGGCCCCAAAGACAATATCACTATGCAAATATAGCGGTCACAGCAGGTATTGCGCGGTACTATTCTCAACATTATGATTATGTATTAAGTAATTTCCATACTTGTTGGTGAGGGCGACAGTGTGCCATTCTTTTTAGACTTGCTCCTCTTGATGCTGTGCACTTGATCCAGCACGCGCTGCTGTCCCGAGCGCAGCTTGTTGTCTGAAGGCACCGCGAGCGACGTGTCCTCCGCGTTACCGATTGCCATCGCTGTACGCAGAGGAGCCATCATCTTCCCAGCACGGTGCCCTTTCGTGTAAACGGTTCCGTTTAAAACCAGTTTCCAAATAAAGCGCGGACCCCGGAGGAGAAGTGCGGTGTGACTCTAGCGGTGCAGCGGACAGAGACAAATATGCAGGCAAGGCTGAATGTTCCCAGAGCTGCGGCGGTGAACTCCACCCTCGGGACCGCGCCCCGTTGAGGTGGGACCGGAGAGAGTTCACAGGCAGGTGCGGAGGGAAGGGAGGGGCCGAGGAATACACGCATTAAACAGTGCAGTGAGCCATACCTGCACAAGTGAGGCGCAAAAGAGGCTTTATTATGTGAAGGAAGGGAATATTCAGAGATAGGACTTTACTCTTTTCCCTGCACTCCTCAATGAGAGCATTTAGTGACGATGTGCTACAGTGAAATGCGTTTTCTCTCTGCGCCCCTCCTACCTGTCACTGTAGACTACACAATCAGACAGTTCAGGCATATGACAATACACAATGTGCAATATGAAATGCAAAAGCCGAGAGACACAACACACTCTCAAAGCACATTTAGGTTACTCAAGTACATGTAGCACAAATGTGAGGCACTTATTGCATTTTATGTTACTTTATATTTACACTCTACAATATTCCAAAGTGAAATATTATACTCTTTATTCCACTGCATTTATTGGCAGCATTTTTAGGACCAAGATTTTACATAAACAACATACAGTATGATGAGCTTATAAAATATGTTGCAGTGCTGCAAAAGTGAAATGTTACCTCCATATGAATGCATCTGTGCTAATAAAATGAATAATAGTACAACACTCCCGGATCATGTCAGTTTTGATACTTCAGTATTTTTCTCTTAATAATTACAAATATGTAAAGGAGGTGTAACCAGCTGAAACTTCTCCTGGGTAAAATTCCTTTGGTGTTCATTGTTCAGGAGGTTTTTACAAGAGGCCGAATTATCTGCAGAGGTCTCTTCCTCTCCGAAACAAACAGACCTAGTGATTTAAACTGATAAAAAACACTGAATAAAGCAGTTTCACGTTACAAATCAGTGTTTCTTTAATGCTGTTTGGCACGTCGGATGGGCTGCTAAACTAGCACCTGTTAATGTGTGCTCACCTTTTTTCTCTGATAACTTAAAATCAGATGTTCAGGATGTTTTCACCAGGAGCTGAATTATCCACAGAGATCTCCTCATCTCCAAAACAAACGGAAAAGGTGATTTAAACTGGTAAAAACACAGAATAAAGCTGTTTCATGTTAAAAATCAGCACTGTTCTGATGCCGTTCTTTGTGTAGGGGCTGCTAACTACAGTGGCTGATGCAAAACGCATATGGCCCCATCTAGAGTCAGTGTTCGGTTTGTCCATGCTGGACTACTGTAGAAACATGGCGGACTTCTAAATGGCTCGTATAAAGAAACGAAAACACTACAATTTTTATTTTCAGGTGATTATACACTAAAGAAAACATACTTATTATAGTATATTACAATAAAGCCTACACACTGGAGCTTTAAAACCAGAAAAGACAATATTGCATTACTGCTACTTCTATATATGTAAAGGATGTAAACACTTTGTCCACTAGTGTTTAATGGGTGTATCCATTTTATGTTACTTTATGACCCACTTCTAATCCATTACATTACAGAGGGAATATTATACCTGGTACTCCTTCACATTTAAATGATTCTTCAAATTAATACTTTACAAAACTTATTATAACCTTGTAAAATATAACACGTTTTTACAGATAATGTGTATCCCATATTTGTGTCAGGGCTTTACAGATAAATTATAGTTCATTAATACAGACACATTTTGTGTTATCAAGTTGAAATACATTTTTAAGACAATATTCTACCTAACGTGTGCCAAAGTACTTTTTGCTGACAATACTTATACTTTACTTTTACTTGTAATGTTTAGAACTGTTGGTGACTTGCTGCTAAAAGTCTACAATGGTAATTTTTATTTAGATTGAAAACTCTGTATATGTTACAAAGTATGTGATGATTTGTAAATGTAAAATTAAGTGAATTTGGGTTGTGCCCTGGTTGTTCACGGTGTAGAGCTTGTACCATTTAGGCTGAGTCCTGCCTGCAGCAGCCTAGGACCCTTTGCTGCATTTCCTCCCTTCTGTCCCCTTTTCATATCTGTCTCTCACTATCAGTAAAGCATACATACTGCCAAAAATATCTTTAAAAACAAAAAAAAAGAATTAAATGTATTTATGACCATAGTGGACACTGCCTCACACACATGCAGTTTCCCTTGTATCATTATTATTCAGTTAGTCATTGAATTGAGTAAGATCAGATATCTTCTTTCACAGCAGACATGTTGACCTGTCACCTTAGGAGCAGCACAGGTGTCTCTAAAGACATTAATGTTCGATCCATTCAGTGGTACAACACCAGGATACTGAAAGTGAGGCTAAATGGAATTCAGCCATTATTCATTTTAAATCCATTAAATTAATTACACCTGTGCTTTTACTGTTTTACTGCCACATGTCAAAATGTGTTCTGTGATGTTCTGTGTTCTCGCCAAATATACAAATATATTTATGCCTTGACATTTTCCTTAAAATCTTTCTTGTAATGCAAAATATTTTAATACATTTTTTTTTCCAAGATTCAAACAGTATTTACTGCACAATGATATTCATTTGTCATCTTTATGTTTCAGGGTCATTATTCTATTATGATGTACATGATGGATTCAATATCAGACAACACCTACATACTCATGGGACCTTTTTAAACGTAGCAATATTTTCATTAAGAAGTGTGACTTTGACTGAGGTTAAACCATCACATGTCTCTGCTGACGTTGAGATAATTATAGTTTTGTCATCAAACTATAATTACATGTTACAAGCAGGGCGTGACCACCTATTTTTCTCCCCTTGGATCCATAATTACTGACCTCTGTTTCCATTAGAAACATACAATCTATTGATTCGGACATTTTTTGTGATACTGAATCCATCATGCCCCTGCTGTCTATTGTCACCCACTCTGTGACTCAGCTTTTGTCAAAAGACAAAAAAAGAAATTAACAAGTGAAGCCACAGAAAAGCCATCTTGGTTCTAACTTCAAATCGCCCAGTGAGATTTCCCTCATATCTGAAGTTATGGAAGTTGATTTTCTCAGCAGCCTGTGGGCTAGATTAGGGTACATTACTGTTTACTATGTGATTTGCATTCAGGTAAACTGTTTAAGACAGAGATGAGACAGGTCAGGGCATGAGCAAGCATCTCTGTTTGAGAAGTGAGCCAAGAAAGAGACAAGAGTCAGAGTGTGTCAGATAGGGAGGGATGCAATGAACGTGAAGAGGAGCCAAGAGGGAAAAGGGAGACAATATGAGCACATGCTCTCTGCATAACCGGATTGTTTTGGCTAAGTTTCTGCAGGTGACATTTTCCCACCACACCCTTCGCCTCTACACTGCCAAGGTAATAAACGTCATATGTGTAATGTAACTGTGATGTGTGTGTGTGTGTTATGACAATGTGGGCCAACGTGGGTAAATGGTTGGAGTTTTTATCTGAGCGAGAGGGAGGAACGTTTGTTTAATACACTGATAGTGTAAACTCAACCAGGCAGGTGAGACCTGCAGCTCAGGACAAAGCAGTACTGTTTGACTGAAAGAAAGAGAGACAAATCCTGTGTCGTTTTTGAGACTTATTAGATTTTAAAGTGACATGGAACTAAAGTCAGCGCTCAGTCATTAACTGATTTAAGGAGAAATACTGCCATGAGCAACCTGTGAACTATGTTAGCTATAATCTTGTACTGCTGCTGTTGGCAGTCTTATGCAGTAAGTACCACACCCAGCCTGAGGGCTTTGTGTGTATATGTGTGTGCGTGTGTGTGTCACCCTTCACCATTTGCAGTTTTGGCAGCACTGGTATTGTAAGTCGAGCTTTGTCAGACTGATAAAGCTCTGAATAATTTCTGCCAACAGAAGAGCCACAATACTGAGTGTGAGGAATACTAGACATGAACAGTTGTATGAGTTGTTCATGACCTTGACAAAGTTATACAGGATTCCCACGGTCATGACATTCCTGGAAAAGTTATGAAATTAGACAAAACCGTTGAGTGATTTAAACCAGTAATAACAGTGAATTAAGAAGTCCCGGCACTCTCATCGTAGAGATGCTGCCAACTACGGTTGCCGACACGAAAACGTTTGTGGCCCTATCTAGAGCCAGTGTTTAGTTTGTCTGTTTTGGGCTACTGTGGAAACATGGCAGTGAAAAATGCTGACATCCATTAGCCAGCTCCCTGTGTAGACAACAATGGCTCATTCTGAAGTAATGAAAACAAGATGATTCATATTTTCAGGTGATTAAACACTGAAGAAAACATTATGATTATATTCCATTTCTGCCAATAACCCCTGTTAAATCCAGCTAGATGTCACTCTAAAGCTTTGTCACCTTTTCTGCAGCTGTAGGAAAGCGTGAGCACCAACATGTTTGAGCGGCCGACGTGCACAAGTTTTCATTCATGTGAAGAAGAAATAGTTCTGCGTGCTGATAACACCTCACTAGCACACATAGTAAGCACTGTGACCACCACTTTACAGCCCCAATATACACCCTATAGATTGTAAAAAAAAAAAAAAGTGCTCTTATCACTTACACTTTGCTAAGCATGGCTTGGAAGGTTGCCAACATATATATACAATGTGTAATTTATTACATATAATTTTGATCCTGAAAAAGTTGATTTACAGTGCTAGACACTGACCAGTACAGTGTATACGTAGATGCCACTGCAGGAGGCTTAAGAAGGAGGAAGTATGTGACTGAGTATTAAAGTCTGGAGATACATCTGATGTGAGCTGGACTGATGAGATAACAGAAGCTTTGTTAATAAATGTCAACCTTTGTCCCAGAGAAGCAGCATTGTGCAGCCATAGTTTGTAGCAGTTTCATTTGAACGTCCCTTAATTTTTCATCTTTTTCCCCTCAGTGGTGCACATTGTGTAAAAGCATGCAGAATTTATGTGTGAATAATTTATATTCGCACATAAATCTGTTTGTTTTTTCCTTAAATGTTTAGGAATCTTAATCCAAGTTAATAGCGTTGTTTGTTTGAGTACACGCCAAGATCTGTGCCAACACATGGGTGTTGTCTAAACGAAACACCAATTAGATTTTGTAACTGTGAGACGGAGACTCTTTCCTTGTCACTCACACACATGCACACACACATGGAGACTCACATTGATTATGTATGGAGAGAATAAAGCCTCTACATGTCAGTGTTGGACAGATACATTCATTCCAGACTCTGGACTCATCAAAACACTCCAACACCTTGATAGTGAGTAAAATTGAGGTGACAGCACCATCTGAAGGCTGAATGTGAATTACAACCAATGTGTGTGAATCTTTTGAGTGTATGTGGTGTGAGAATAATTGATTTGAGATGACAGAAGAGATTAAACCCATCTATGTTGCTATAACATTAAAGAAGCTGACCACGCCAGCCTGAATTCTGAGAGTGGGTAAATACCTTAGATACAGGAATACGTACACTTCCATTCAAAAGTTTGGACTTGCCTGCAACAAAAGCTTGATGGGTGCAGTCAGATGGCTGATTGCTAATTGGTCCATCATGCTTTTAGATTGTAGAAAGTCCTCTTTATAAATGCTATTTTGTGTGAAGGGTTTGCTTAAAGTAATGTTTTGAACATGGAGAACAGAATGCTGCACAACAGTTCTACCAGACTGACAACTGAAAGGACAAAACGAGAACACACCTCTGAGTAGCGATGCACCGAGCCAATATCTGGATCGAATATCGGCCCCGATGTCATCAAAATAGATGGATCAGGTATCGGAAAATGCAACCCAAACCTGAGGTGATCCTTTCCCTTTAAATCTATTGCGACGCGAGCTACGCCATCTGTTTCATCTTATCTTAGGAAAGAACTGTATAGTCATCAATGCCTGATGCCTCTAGTCTTTTCTGTTCTACATGTAAAGGTATATAGCTTTTTAGGTCAACCATGGTATCGGATCGGAATCAGGTACTGGTTGATACTCAAAGCCACAGCATCGGGATCGAAACCGAAAAAGCTGGATCGGTGCATCTCTACCTCTGAGCAACAATAAGAGTAGAAGAAATCACCAGTCACTGGTAAAAGAACCTGAAAGCTTAGCATCAAAATGAAAGCAGATTTAGATTTCATTTCATTTCAGTGTCAAGTGCACAATAATGCCTATAAAGAGCTGGACTGAACAGGTATGTTGTGTTAGCAAAGTTGTTCTTAAAAATTCACAATAGACATAGAAGATTACTGCTACTGGAAGTGGATCAAGGAGTATAAACTGAACATACTATGGGCTGACAAATCACACCCTTTGATTTTATAGTTACAGTTTACTAATGTATAAAACTCTCCACAGTATGAACAGTGGTTACATGAGCCTCAAAACCAGCCACAACTCAGCCCTGAGCAGAGTTACCGTCGGCTACTGACCAATCAACAGACTGCAGTGCTCACAGCTCCACCTTTTAGTACCAGATCTGTGTGATAGGTACCCCAACAGAGGGGGGACCAAAAATGGGGATGTTACGGAACGGTTCCATTGATACCATCCACAACTTTTCACAGTGGAAACGGAAGAAAAAATGTACTGAACTGAACTGCTCGGTGGAAATGGGGCTTCAGTGACAGTGGTAAAACAGCAACTCCCATGTTCAGCAAGGTAAAATTACAATTTTTGTGACCCATTTAACTTTTCTTCTTGGATTCTATGTTCACCATAGGTATGTAAGAAAAACTAAGTTTCTTCACCAAATAATTGTATGAGTAATTTATATACAAATGGTCATTTGGGGTATTACTTTAAGGAGGACTTCCTTTCCCATGCATCAAAGTGTTAGTACGAAGACTCTAAACGCTACATAATTCTGCAAACACCATGTGATTTTATTGGTACAGCATAAAGGCACAGATTTTATTCACTGAGGAGACTCGACCAAAGGAGTGATGAGGCACAGCCAACCAGAGTACACTGATGGTAAAAAATAAAAGAATACATTTTTTTGCTGACCATTAAGTGAATATGGTTATTTAAAAACTGAACCAGTCGGCTCCGACTTCCAAATCAGTTGCCTTCAGTCTGGTTAAAGATAATCCTGCCAGGAGAGGGCGTAATAGAGTCAAATAACATTTACTATAAAAAAAATTGCTGGTAGCAACATGTACCAGAAACCAACACATTACACAGAACAAAAGAAAAAAAAAAAGCAAGTGTAAGCTGGATACTTTGTTAGTGTTATCAGACAAAAATCTACCCCAGTGCTCTGTGGGTGACCTTAGTGTGGTCTGTACCATACGTCATTTAACATACATCGAAAGATACAACCAAAACACCCATCATTTCTGATGCTTAGAGTAACACTTCTAGCTGTGCTGGTAAAATACAAAAACAAGATAGTTCATCTTTACAAAAACGGGTCTATTTACCTTGTTTTGGCTTATAAACAGTACCATTACAAGTGTAGTGTCCTATACATCAGTGCTCCTCAGGTTAAGGCTTTATGAACCAAAGCACATTCTTATCCCAACTCACGTGGAGGTAGAAATACTGCAGCGAGCCCACACAGTCAGAGTAAAAACAGGATTGTGTAAATGAACAGTAAAAGATCATTCTTTCATTCAAAATGCTGCTGACACTAAAGTGTGAACTCAATCTGAAACTGTTTCCAAAGACACGTGGGCCAAACGTCAAATCACCTCCTTGACATTTGATCGAAACATCTTCCCTTCCTCTGCAAACCTTTACACAGCGAGGATGGCTCTCTTTACACTTTGACAATGTGTTTTCAAATATAAATATAGGTCTCTACATGTAGTGCATTGAATTCTGGGAAGAGGCTCACTCATACTTTCTGTCGTAGGATCCTTACAGTTCAGACTGAACCACCTGGAGATCATGATTCTCCACACTGTGCAGTGACAGAGGATACACCATTACACATTCACTTCTTTCCTACCTTACAGAGAAGAGATAGTCATTGTGGTAAAAGTTACATTAACACTGATTAAATGATTTGATTGCCAACCTATATTCAAACTCGTCTCACATCAGTCACACCCATGACGTGAATGCATATGCTCGGAAAACTCCCTGGAAATGACAGTATTCGTTTGTAGTGCACCACAGTTACATCGCTATTGTATATAATGCGAATGATTGAACAATATCACATATTAAACTTGATTAAATGGAGTTTGCTGGTTTCTTTTGCATGTTTTATCATGTCAGTGATTTAAGTTTCTCATTAAAAAGAAAAACCTAATGCCTATAATGAACCGTGATATTTTGAGCCTGACACTGACTACGTTTGCATGCACATTGAATTTATTACAGGTCATGTATGTGACATATTCCATTTAGATATTCTGAATTAGGCCTTATTCTGAATGTGGAATTTTCCGATTAAGACATGTGGGATATGCCAGTATTATTCAGGTTTGGGGAGCATTCTTTGGACATTGGGAAACTTGAGGTTTTCACCACAGTCTGTGACACACGGCCTCTTACCGGTTTACGGTCAGCTCTGTGCGCTGTCATGGAAGAAAAGCCCTCATTTCTGGTCAGAAGGAAGGTGTTGCAAAAATATTACGACATCTAACTTCTCAAGAACGTGTTTGAAGCATAAAATTAAGGGAGGCTGTTTGCACTGTCAATTTTTTTTGAAAAAAAAAAAAAAAAAAAAGTCCTATTTTGACGCAAAGAAGCCAAATGGAAGTGCAATTTTGACGTGACAGATGTCATGTTAGGGCACATTAATCAGAGTATGCACTGCTGCATGTATACAGGAATATTAATTTTCATTAACCATGTAAACAGCTTAGTCGGAATATTGTCTTTTTATGAATAAGGGCAAAAATCTGAATATTTTGTGCATGTAAACGCAGTCATTGAGAGATCAGTTTCACTAGGTGACACATTTATGTGACTGGATAACACACTGATAACATCACAACGCTCACTGATCATTATCGTTTTGGTCAAAATCTATAAAAATGAAATTCACTTCAGTGTTTAGGTTATTGTAAGTTGTTGAGACGTGTGTGTATTGTTTGTAGTGACGGAAATGCACTCACAGTAAAGAAGAGGAAAGAACAGCAACAGGTGTGACTACAGTGTGACTGTTGGTCTGTCAAAAAAAGTGTGTTTAGAGTAGAGGAGTGGAGATTCTGTGTGTTTGAGCTGGAAATAGTATTTATGCTGTATGTATCAAAAAGTTTGTGGAGAGTCTCTGCACGCACACAAAGTGCTGCTAGTCGTTAACTAGTCGATAAACGTGGTACTGTGCTCCGTGTTCACTCGTGGACACTTCAAACACAAAGGCGATGCACAGCAGAGTCTCCTGAGTTTCTCTGTTGGACACCACCTGGCAGGAAAAAGGAGGAGAAGAGGTTGCAGAGGTCAGGACTGAATAATAGTCAAACACCAGTTCAGAGATACAGATGAAGGAATACCAGAGGCGCACACACACACACACACACACACACACACACACACACACTTACCTGTAGGATGGTGAAGTTCTCCAGTACACTGTTCATCATGTACTTCTCTGGCAAGTGTTTGAGCTTGTGAATGAAGTTGATCATATATTCACACATGGGAGAACGATGAATGCGAAACACATACTTTCCTCCTTCCATGTGTGCATATTCTGTCTGAATGGGGGGAATCCACACATACAGTTAAACCACATGCTATTATGGCTGGATATAAGATCTATTCTGCACGTTAAAAAAAAAGTTTCATCTTCTCACCTCAACCTTCTCCACCACCTGTTTGCCAAAGGAGCAGACCTTTGTTGAGACACTGATGGTGATGTTTTCTGTTCCACTGTACTGGCTGCTCACACCGTAGAACACACCGGATCCCTCCTCGATGTCGCTGCTCAGGTCCGCCTGACATGAGCACAGAAAGAGGGACAAAGTGAGTGTCAAAGGAGAAAGACAAACAGAGGAAGCCAGTACCAAAGACGGATATAACCATGTCTTATTAGGAAGGAAATACATTCCAACATGTTAGGGTACAAACAATACGTTTTGGTGTGTAACACTGAATGTAAACATAGCTTGTTTGTTCACAAAAAGACTTCACAGCGCACCTTTGACGGGAAACTTTTATATTTTAACCCAGACCCTGACACTTGAATGATCCATTTTGTGTATAAGTGTCTTCCTGCAACAGCTCAACTCATTAGACTTTAGAACAAGACTCCTCCTTGAACAAGACTTGGTTACACACACACACTAACAAACAGACCAGATCAAGCAAAAGGTAAAGAAAAAACCAGTCCCTCCAGGATTTCACAGGCTGATTTTGTGGCAGCTTTTCTAAAACACTGCAATGCATGTTATGATGTTACAATGTTTATAGGTGTCACTTTGCAATGAAATGGCAGGGGCAAGTGAAAATTGCAAAAATAGCTGTGATGCTGTCTCAGATTTGGAGCGTATTATTATGAGCATTCAGTGTTTTTACCACAGAATTAGAATCTATGTATGATGGTTGCAGGGCAGCAACAGCTGATCACTACTGCTGGTCAGCTGGTAATGCCGTTTGACGCAGTGTTGAAGGACTATCCCAGTGAGAGCTTCTCCTCTTGCTTTCTTTGCCTGGATAGCATGAGCTAACACAGCACAACATGATCTCATCACTACTTGTCATATTTTGCAACTTGCACAGAAGCCCCGCAGAAGCAATTAACATCTGATAGGGACCGACAACAAAACAGCTCGACTGTTTTTAAACCTGAGAATAACCACTGGATTACGTTACCCTGTCACTGTGTGTGTTTGACTCCAGGCACAGAGCTGTGGTCCTGCAGCAGCAGTATTCTCATGATAAACATAGAATAAGAGAGACAGAGGGGCTGAGAGAATCAATGCGCTGCACGCAGCTCTACAGTGAAATTAGATTTTACCCATTTTAAATAGTCAAATTTTCGGTAAAGTTGCAGTTACAAAGTTGTAATGTGGTGCAGAAATCACAGGTACTGGCTGAATTTATGTTCATTGTTGCAATCACAATATTGTAAAATCCTGGAGGGACTGGTTTCATTTCTTTGTAGGTCCCTTTGCATAAGGATGTAGAAAAATAATCTGTGGCTGTTGGTGGCAAAAACAAGCACTTTTAGTGGATGTACTTTGACACTGCCCTCCTGCCCAACAATTACATTGCAGCCTGTTCCACAGCTGCAACGCTGTGGCTCTGGCTCAGTAACCAATTACATCAACTGTTGTTCCAATTAGTCACTTAGACACACTTGCTGTACAGTGATTTCCAATGTAAACCCCTGCTAAGGCATCACATGGGCTTTGCTTCCCCCATGTGGTGTAGCAAAGTATAACCTCAGATTATAAACAGGTTTGTCATGACATAAAACCAACATAAATAAACTATCTCATGCAAAAACTGTAACGTGAAAACTAAACTGCATGTTGGTGTCAAAGTTGTACATGAATCAGTGAGAACACCAATTTTGTTTACTGACCCAGAACTTGACGAGGAAGAATGCGTTGTGCGGCCCTTTTTCATACAGCTCCTTCAGGCCTCCTTTCTTCTCAGAGAACTTGTCGTAAATCTGCCTGACATCTATGGACTCCAACACGGGGTCATTGTAGCCCGGGTTTGATGGGCCAATGAGTACAAAAAGGTGTTTATACTGTGGGAAAGGGAGGAGATGTGATAAGAAAAAGAGGAAAGACTTGGTTTTGACAAAATAGAAATTGTATAAATGTGTGGATGTCTGTACCGTCTCCCTGTCTCTCTGGATCTCCATGAAAGCAGAGTACTCCAGTAGCCGTAGTTTTGCTGAGGCGATGGTTCTGTCTTGCCATACAGGAGCTGCAGGGCGTGGGGGAGGCACGGGCTCATAGCCTGCCAAACATTTAAACCAAGTTAACACAATAAACACACCAATAATCACTGCTAATCAATCAAATCAGTGAGTTTGTATTCACACTTACTAATGGGAGCAGGGACAGGGGCTGTTAGTGTAGTGTACGGTGGCTGTGCAAAGGGCTTGATGCTGCAAGGAGGAGGAGCAGAAGCCCAAAAATGAGCAACTGTACCAGCTGAAGCTTAAGACTTTGTCCAATTTCAATCAAACAAAACCAACTAATCTGACAGAGATACTTACTCCTGAGAATGTCCAGGCTGTCCTGGCACAGGGCCGGGCCAAAACTAAACAAAAGGGAAAGAAAGGAAACGGGCAGATAGTATTACTCAGACTTTTACCCAGAAGGTAGAAAAGAACAGATGTGTGTCTGTCTGTGTGTGTGTGTCTCACTCTGACTGGCGGAGGGAACGGAGTCTGGGGTTTCATTACACTAGCAGACACAATCTGAGCTGATGAGAGGTTGGCTACTGTCTGCAGTGCCTTGTCTTTGGATACCTGGTCCTGAATGAGAAAGAAAAAGCAATACATAATGATAAATGCTCTGTAATGAAAAACCCTGCACAATTTAGGTTAACATTCCAAAGTCAGCCAACCTCCAAGGCCAGTTAGGACAGCGAGCCAGCCAACGTATTAACAGTACTTCAGCATGATGCAGTAACTATGAGGGAAGACAGGACAGAGTGCAAAGCAGATATAGGGGGATGCCAAAGCAGGAGGCGCACCGAGCTAGCAGGCTAGGAGAGCTAACTGGAGTCATCACCAGCATTTGACTAAAGCAACTAAAAACAAAAGAGTAATGAGCAGGATTTTTGAGTCTGCCAGTAGAACTGCATTGTGGACTAGAAGTTATGTGATGCCAACCACAAAGCACAAAGCCTCGAAGCAGAAGATTGTAGTTGTGTAACCAAAACTTACCAAGTTCATGGCCTATGGCAAAGAAGACACGGTATTATTAACTTCAGTACATTCAGAATAACAGCAGGTCACAGATTCACTATTAGGCCATACAGAAAAACACCTTTCTCAGTACATATAACTGTTTAACATTACTACAAACCTAACATGTCAAACACTCTCACACTAGGCTACAAAAATGAATCTCACACTGACAGGACAAGCTACATCATACTAATCTGTGCTGACGATTGTACCAGGAAATAAGCTGGCCTCAAAATCTGAACATGTTCTCCAAAATGTGAATTAGAGTGCAGCAAGTTAAATGCCTTCGGTGCAAAATGATGTCAAAGAGCCTTTATTACAGTGCATGGTAAAACCACAAGAAAAAACTGCTTTAAAAGAAAAAAAAAAGACATAAAAGGACTGAGGGAAATGTCTCAGAGTGAGAACGTGGAGATCAGAAATGATATAAAAGAAACTGAAATTTGTCACATGTGCAAATTAAAATCTCCCTGCATGTCTGTGTGTATGCAAGCATTTATATGTACATTACTACAGCCATGCACATGCTTAGGTCCACCCAGCCGGCTACTAAATCTAATGTAATTATCCGTCCACAGCCACAAGCTTCTTAAACTAAGTAAACAGATCAAAATTACTGCCATGCATTAAAACAAAAAACCCTTTCTCACGCTAGCATTAAAATAAATCTGCTAGACAACAAATATATGCAAAAAGCAATGTTCGAAAATATATAATGAGTACGCAAAGCCACAGCCTGCCACACCACGTTCCCACAGCCACTAACACTATCTCAGTGCCCTAAGGATGGTATTATAAATCATGTGCCTAACTATTTGCAAACATGATTTATAATTCTCCATCAAAGCATTCCAGTGCTTCTGCCTTAGATGCCTATATAGGAGTCCTGGCATCATCACAACACTAAATAGATATGTCATGCTTTATCATTTAGAAATTGCCTCCACTCGTGCGTACACCTAGACCCCAGCAGAGAAGCGTAAATCTGCCATTAGCTCTCACAAAGACATCTAGCCTTAGATTTAATGTTAGGTTGGATCTGGGCCACATGCAGAGCGAAGCAGCTAGCATGGCAAAGTCAGTGAGCGTGTGTACCTTGAGCTTAGACTGAATCTCACGAGACTTTCTCTTGGCCAAGACTTGCAGGTGACTAGAGACCTGACGAAAGACAGGGCGCAGGACAGAGGATGGGAAGAAAAAGGAAAGGAAAAGAAGAAGGGATGTGACTACAGAGGGGAAGGGAGAGTTGATTCGGTGGGCACAAACCTTGATGCTGGTCTGGTATTCTCGTACCCTCTTACGTGCCAGAACCTGAATGTGACTAGACACCTATGGAGCCAGGGTTGCCCCCATGAAAGAACACACATTCACAGGGTGATTTTGACGTTTTAAATAGATATAAGTCCATTAATAATCACTTTAAAGGGATAGTTCACCCCAAAAATCAAAAATATGTATGTTTCCTCTTACCTGCAGTGCTAATTATCAGTCTTGATTGTTTTGGAGTGAGTCGCAGAGTGCTGAAGATATCAGCCATAGAGATGTCTGCCCTCTCTTAAATATAACAAAACTAGATGACACTCAGCTTGTGGTGCTCAAAGTGCCAAGAGAGTACATTCAAAAACTCAACAGCAACGTCTCTTTCCAGAAGTCATGACACAGTTACTCATGATAATCCACAGACCTTGTTGTGAGCAGTTTCATGTAAGAACTACTTTCTTTCTACCAAACCATGCCCACCAACTGTATCTCCATGCAGCATTCATCTGCTCATGGAGATGATAAACGTTACTTAGCTCAGTGGTGCTACTAGACGCACGCTTCCTTCTGTGCGGTGATAGGTTTGATGGGTGTAGTTCAATATAAGAAAATAGTTCCTCTATGAAAGTGCTCACAGCAACGTCTGCGGATTCTCTCGAGTAAGCGGGTCATAATTTCTGGAAAGAGACAGTGCTGTTAAGATTTTCAATTCTAATTCTTGGCGCCTTTAGCACCACAAGCTGAGTGCCATCCAGTTTCAATCAAGACTGGTATCTTCAACACTATGCAACTCACACCAAAACAATCTAGATCAATAAATACCACTACAATAAAGAGGGAAAATATATATTTTTGATTTCAGGGTGAACCGTCCCTTTAACAAGCTGCATGGGTAATTTGAAACAAAAAAAAAACAAAAACAAAAAAACAAACAAACAAAAAAAAACAAAACACATAAAAATATATGTAAACTGCAAATTCTATTACCACAAACACATGTAAATGTTGTTGTCAACAATGCATGACTGTTGTCTTCTGTACATACCTGTTTGCGTGTGCGCGTCTTCCCAGTTCGTAGCTTGATATAGCGAGCTATCAACTCATTTCGACCTAAAATTGAGAAATGGATAAAATCAGAACGGAGCACTTACACACACACACACACACACACACACACACACACACACACACACACACACACACACACACACACACACACACAAAAAGGCCATCACAACACCTTAGTTATACACAATACAATATATGTTGCTATATCAGACAGTAAGACAATGATGTTGCTGTTAAAACCTGCTGTGAATGGTGATCCATTTGAATAAGTTTGCTTCACTTTAGCTGATATAGGGAGTAAATAGTGGTTCAACGTCCAAAGAATCACCACAGAAAAAACATGGCTGCCACTAAAGTTTTACCAGCCACTCAGTTACATTTTATGTCTTGAGGCATGTATGGCCCTAAAATTATGGTCTAAAAATTGCAATCAGTGTGGTGGTCCCTGGTGCAACCACTCTCATTTGGTCACTGAATCAAATATGAACCTAAATGGCAATGATGACAGGAGTGAGTCCTCTCACACTTGATCTCAAGTCCACTGCAGCACAGCAAACCACACAGTCTCTGTTCTGTATCTTATGACGTTAATCTTCTTAAGCAGGCCTATAATCACAACACTCCTAGCAAAAGTCCTTTGTGTTTTACAAGCCAACAGGTCACAGTGACATTGAGAATTTTCACTGATCATTCTTTGGTACAAAGCAAAAGAAGATGCAGATGTGTTAATGTTTTCTATCCCTTTTAAATATATAGAGTGAGGGTCAGAGAGTGCCTCACAATCTTAATGAAGGTGAAAAATAATGTGTATCTGCCCTGTGATTCAGATCCACGCAAGCTACACCCTTACACCAAGTTACATGAAAATCGGGCCAGTAGTTTTTCTGTAATCCTGCTGACAAACAAACAAACCAGACCAAAAAAATAACCTCCTTGGCAGAGGTAATGTAGCCAAGCTTAATGCAACGGCACTTATAGCATGACATGTGAGAAGACGTTTGCTCTCACACAGTTACATGGACTGTCACGCTTTGAATTTCTGTGGCTGTATGATATTCTCATTAAGGACAGCATGTGTTAATTTAGAGTCAGCATTGGCCTTGCCCAATGGCAGAGCTCCAAAGCAGATGGACAAGTGGCGGGAATGAAGGGGAGACGAGGAGAGGTCATCATAAACAGACTTCCAAATTGTGGTCACTGCAGACTGCATGGTCAGCTCTTTCTTTCCCTGCCTCCCCCAGCTCCAGCCTACACCTGATGATCTGCCTGTCTCTGATCGTAACTGCTGAGCAACTCCCGATTCACCCTGTGGCAGATGTCAGAATTAGAAAGGCTGAAGATAAAAGGTGACCAAATGAAGCCTCACAGACTGATTCCGCAGCTTTAATCATTTAATCACACACGCACTTCACATCATCGACATCACCATCCTCTTTTCTGGGAAGTGGTGCGATGCTGTAGGGACTTAGGTCACATCAGGCTGAGTCACATCAGCTCTGTGGAGTTACCAGAACACAGAATTCCCCAAAATCAACAGAAGGGTCTGACTCAGACGCAGCAGTCTGCTCCAATTCCCAAAACAGAGCACATGCAGTTTCCTGCAGCCTAGCACTACTCCACATAAGGCCAAATGCTTTTTCATCTCATGTCTCATTTGTTACAGTGTGTGTAATTTACACCTTTACATGAGAGCAGAGGGCGCATGGGAAGATCAGTTTGGAAACATGGCGACACACTTCGCAAGTAACTTTAACTTCATGATGATTATCTCCCTGTCTCTCCCCTCATCCGCCACGTTGCGCACCCCCCCCCCTTTTTTTTTTTTTTTTACCCTTTTGCTTCCTAGCTTAAGCTACAAATGAGATTTTCATCATAAAAGAGATAAAGAGAGCCAGACACCAAAACTAAACAAACTTGAATTAATTTGGTCATTGTTTCAGCAGGAAATGACCGCCAAAATACTGTTTGGCAAGTATCAAACATATTTCCCTTTGGACCAGTGGGGTCTGACTCTCCAACAGCAGATCTGTAGCTGATAATCTGAATGAGCCTGTCTCTGACTCGAATACGTCCCATCAAAATTCTCCAAACAAATTTAACCACATACCAAAACAGATATGATTTAGTGAGCCTTGAGCTTTGTTCAGCAGAGCCTGTGTGTTTACACTCTTAAATTTAAGAGAGACACACTTTGGAGGAATTGTACACAAGGTTATTGATCATGATAATTAATATTTTAGCAAAAGAAATATAAACAATTCAGAATGGATTTTTTGTGCATATCCATTACAACCACTCCAGTTATTTAATCCCCATTTGTATATTTACATATTATAAATAAACCGGATTGTTGTTAAATGTAACCTGTTAATTGTTAGTTAAGATATTAAGATAATTTTACTTAATCTTTTTCTTTTTTTCCAGTAAAACATTATTCAGTACACTGTATTTTGTTTTAAGAATTAAAGGAATACTTGACCTACAAAATGACCATCTGTTTATCAATCAGTCATGCTGTTACCATGAATTCAAGAAAATAACTTTTTCCCACATGCCTATATAGATAACGGTAAAGATATTGATTATTTTGTGTGTGTTCAGGAAGTATCGAGTGAAAGACTGGATAAATCAGACTTGGATCATACTGCATGAGTTGTGTGTGAGTTTGTAAACGGATGATTTGAAATAGTTTTGGCGTTGTTGAACGTAGTTGCCAATCAATCAATATGTTCACCGTTTTCTGTGGAGAATGTGAGAAAAATTAAAGTTTTCTTCATGAATTCAAAGTAACACCACATTACTAACTGATTTACAGAAGGTAAGTGTGTGGGTTAAGTATTCCTTTAACAATATGTCAAATGTTACTCTTTGCAGCAACTAGCAGTAAATCAATATCAATAAGTTGCTTGATAAATGTGTTCTACTCTTCACACTTAAGTTACTCCCAAATTGGCTCTCGTAAGAGTACTTCTTCATTTGCAGGCTTCAATATATTGTGCATTTTAAAAACAGTGGACACAACATCAAAAAGAACATTGGCATGATGCTAAAATATCATCAATAATACAAGCAGCCTCTGACTTATCTGTGTCCCCCTGTGAGTGCAAGTGATCTATCTGCTGATCATCCTAATTTAGGAGTACATGCTTGACACTGTATTCCAGGGTGACATCATGGTAGTTACATACGACTGAGAGCACAGAGACGGGAGCTCAAATACAACTGGCCCATTTTTAGCAGGAGGAAGTACATACACGCATGGTATTCTGATATGAGACCAGGTAGAGTCTGGTATTTTGCACATTATAATATGTGTATATATCAGATTTATTGTCATCTTTTCCTGGTTTTAACAGCTGCACTGTGTTATTCAATTTTCAGAATGTGTGTTGAGTTAAATGAGCACTTAATATTTCTGATTGCCTGAATGATATCATTCATTTATCCACTTGAGCTACTTTTAGGTATGAACTGTGATCTTTGAATGCTATGCTAAGTTTACCAGTTGACTTCATGTTTGAAAAAGACTTCTGTGATCTGTAAAAGATGCCCTGGCAATCTGCCTATTTAGGACGCAGTAATATTTCTGTAACGTCTTCTACAGAGTAGTGACATTACTAGTGGGCATATACAAGTTTAACAAATATATTTATAGTATACAGTAATTCAAAAATTGCTACAGTTTGTATACTTACCTTGACTTACTGGATGATTTTATGATGTGGATGGTATTAATTGAAGGAAATGAGATCATTGTGTAGGATATGGGTGGTGAAGCACAGACTGAAATTCTGACAAACTATCAAATCATAATGGAACAAATAAGCAGTTTTCTTTCTTTGCCCTGTTTTTTTAATTTATTTTAATTTTATGATCTGTAAAATAAACTTTTTTTTGTTTTGTTTTTAGTTATAGGTAATTTCACAAATGACAACACATTATGCAAAATTTTAAAACAAAAAGGGTTACTCAGACATTCTGACAGGACTATATCAAAGGACTGGTTTACGACATTAGGGGCAAATCTATGACTCAGAGTTTGATTCATGGTTTTCTGAGCATGGTTTTCAACACAGAAGTGACTGAGCCAGCAGCTAGCAGCTAATAGGGCTGGGCGATATGGACAAAAATTCATATCTCTGTATTAACAAGCTGACTGGCAATACACAATATATATCTCAGTATTTTCGAGTGAATGGGCTACATGTTTTTAGTTGCAGGTCAAAGCCACATGTCACAAGTTTTTTTAAACAGACTGTGATCAAAATAAAAAAGGCAAAGACAGGGATTTTATTCCCGTTTGAAAATATACAGCTGCACAACAGTTACAGCTCCAAAACACTAGTCGGCGGCAAAGTTTCTGTTAAGTGCTGTCAAGTTCAGTTGAATAAAAACACACCCAAAACACACATTGCACAAATCCGCTTCACTAACTTGCAGCATTCACAGACAAAGCACTTGACTTTATCTGGACACATTTACCCCCAAATACAACATGCTAATGTTTTTAGCACAAGCCTATGGCATTTTACATTGTATAAATTAGCCTAGCAGCTAGTGGATTCTCCTCCACTCATATGAAGCCAGGGACAACAGCAACATTTAACAAAGGTAGCAACATTCGGTTTTATTATAACTCACAAGGTTCGCCGACAAAACTGTTGTACTAAACACGCTTTCCAAACAATACATTTTACGCTTTATAAATTAGCCTAGTGAATAGCAGAGATTTCCTCTGCTCATATGAAGCCGGGATAAATCACACACAAGACTTAAAATGCTGTTTTTGTGGAGGCTTTATTGTCTTCACATTTTATTGTTTCTTATTTGTGAAATTAAAGTAAATAAAGGCTTTGTTTCCACTGAGGGAAAGGGTTTCAGCTTACAAAAATAGACAGGAGGTCTGTGTCGCCGTGTGGCATAGTTATATTTCTGGGGAGGTGCACATAAAGCTACGGCTCACGCAACACAACTTGACCCTATATCGATTTAAACGGTGTTGAAAATATATTAATATATCGTACATAGTCATTATATTGCCCAGTCCTAGCAGCTGACGGGGCTAACAGCACAAACAGCGCTAACAATGTCAACAGTGCTGACAGACCTTGCATTGCTAACATTGTGGGGAACTGGAGGATGGGCACTAAACTTCACTGACGATGCTGTGGGTCTGGACAGCATTATCAGCAGAAACCAAGATATGAGCGCAGTGCAGAGCAGCCGCGATTAACAGGCCGGTGGAATACACACACACACACACACACATATACATACAAACAAGGGCTCACCTGCATGCGCCATTCAACTGTTTAACGCAACAATAACAATGAAGCTCTGATTACAGCTCACATAGAGTGTGTGTGACTTCAGCAAATAGTTGTTTGCTGCTATGTCAATGCATTGAACGTTACATTTAGAAACTTTAAGATGCAGTGAGTGAAAAGTTTGATGGTGGTTTGAAAATAGAGGAGACCAGTGGAATACTTTGAGCGTGCGGATTATGTTCAGTGTCAGTATTGCTTTCCAATGTGTGAAAGTGTGTACCAGTGGGACTGCGCTTGTTTATTCAGAAGGAAGTGGGGGTGGTCAATACAGTGCGCCCACACTTCCACAAAAGGAGAAAATGCCACAACGTTGAAAGAACTTTCCCTTTCCGTCGCACGGGATCACATTTCCTTTTTCCCCCCTCACAACACACACTTACACATTCACGAATGCATGACACAGGCTGCTGCAGACGGGAATGCTAACGCTTAGCCAAAAAAAAAAAAAAAAAAAAGAAAAGAAAAGAAAAATGCTAGGAATGTTGGGCGCTAGCCAAGGCCTTCAATAAGGTAGGAAGAAACCGTCAAAACACATCAAAGTCCTGCTCTTAGGCAGCATCCTGAGCAGATCCTAATAGAGCAAACACTACTACACTGGTTATGGAGTCCCAGAGAACAACATGAAATAACCTTTCAGCATCAAGCAACTTCTTTATGTGCTAACCTCAGTCTAACCTGAGTCAACTTGCTCTAACCTTTGACCCTGTCAGTGCTGGATACACTTTGACCTCACGCTACACAGCTCTCTCCAAAATAACTGCAGTCAGATTACCTGTGCACAAACTTTAACAGCAATCAATACCCCTTGGACTCCAAAGTGCTCACACTAAATCATTACTGGCCTATTCCACGCTACCTCAGAGAACCAAACCATACCAGGAATAATGTTTCCTTTTTTTTATGACATTTTGTAAAGGTAAAGGCTGATGTAGTGTGTGCTTTCGGGTAATTTTGGCCATTTATCTTATAGGGAAAATTTGCCACCTTTTATGTGGATGTCCAATCAGTGTTGATGGTATAAATAGTCTATTGATACAATAAATTCCTCACTGTGTGCTATACTGACCAAGTAAACTGGGTTTTTCTGCTTGTGGAGCTGTGCCAGCCATGCCTATATGTACCAGGATGGATTGCATCATTCCCTAATGACGCCGCTACAATGGTTGATATATATATATATCATCATATAAAAGTCAGCCAGGCATCACTATAAATAAAAGTAGACAGGATGGCTGGACGACAATCATTACATTAGGACAGAAGTTTCCTGATCCTCACCATACATCTTCCCCTCATCTGAAAGTATGATCTTCCTCCTGCCGCAGGGAGGGTAGATGGCCAGAGCTTCCTGAAAGCTCTGTTCAATGTCTGGACTCCACACGCCCTCGGGGTCACCGTCCAATCCGCGGTCCGCCCCGTCTCCCAGGCCCTCTCCATCGCCGCCGTCCTCCTGCGCCCCATCAGGGCTGCCACGGCAACTCCACTCCGACGCAATGATGACGGCTCCTGGCCACAACGCACCTGGATCACACAGGACAAGACATTTTATGGATTTCACATCCTCTGTTGCTACGTCTGTCAAACTTTCTGTTTTCGCATGGCATGCAGTTTACACTGATAACAGTGGCAGATTTAATACTCAAGTTTAAAATTAATTTTTTAAAACAATGGGTCTTGATGTCACACAAAGGTAGACAAAAGCAGACTAAAAATTTAGCCTGTGAATGTGGATTTTAAGGCTGAAATAACAAGTGTTGCTGCAGATTTTAGTGGTAGCTAGTTGTCTAATTGAGCTCATATTAGCTCCATGGGTTGCCTGATGTTTTATTGTTTCACACTGACTAATTTTACATGTGCACAACGGCTACATACACAATACTAGGAAAGCCGAGGCTACAGCTGTCAGGTAGTCCTTGTATTATAACGACAAAGAAAAATAGCCTCTTATTTCAGTATTCTACAATCCTATCTTGCTTCTTGGTTCGTTAATATCTGTGCTTGTCCTAAATCCAGGTTTCAACATGGCTTTTCTTCCACATTAAAAAAGCATTACACCAAAATATCTACAGAAATGTGAGAGTAGTATTTGTTTTCATAGCTGATGAATTTAGACAAAAAGGCATTGCAATCAGCAAGGTTTAAAGAAATTAATGCAGCTGTCTCCTGGATGTTTTGAAAATACAGTGCAGCTTTGAATCATATTAAAGCAACATATACAAACCATAAAGTGTATAGTCTGTGTATAAGTAATAATAAACTAAAGAAGTTTTTGGGGTTACGGAGATTTTCTGTATCTTCATCTCACCAAAAAGCTGGAACTCATCAGCACACACTGATGAGAAATGAAATTTTTGGTTATCCATAAAAAATCCTTTATCTTTAACTGAGGGCAGTTTGTTCATAAACATCTGGTTAGTTCTCAAACTGAAACTCCTGACTGGACATTAAATGTGCTGTTTTGGAGCAAGAAGTGGAGAGGCAGCACAGAGCAAGGGAGGATGCCAAGGCAGCACTGAATGCAGCATCAGCACTGAACTAAACATGTGATAGAGTCATAAAATGGAGTTTGATTTGTTTTTTAACACAATCTCAGAAATCACTGGCATAAACATTGAATCATATTCTCTTACTGCACTATTTGGGGACTAAAACACAAAAAGATGTAATCCACTTTGTCACTCTGCTGGCGAGATGTTTAATTTTGCTCCGATGGAAGTCCCCTGTACCTCCTTCCCATTCTCTTTGGATTCAAGCAGTTTGAATCAGACTTACTCTCAAAGGATCTAAAAACAAATTCTCTGCAACATGGACACCCTTCTTCAAACTCAAACTGGACTCCACTGGTCTGCAGTTCCAGATTAATACATCTTCTAAATCTATGCAAGAGGCCTGTCCTGTCTAAATCTAACAGCTAAACAGGCTAAATGTAAATGTAAATGTTGTTCTACTTGAAAATCCAATAAACAAAGTGGGGAAAATGGAGTTTGATTTAAAGTATAGACACAAAATAAACACAGATCCTGGACTATTTATCCATTAAACCTTTGAAATCTGAGCAAATATACCCGATCCAAGTATCGGCATCGATCACATTATTTTTTTACAAAATTGGAATCGCTAATAAAAATCTGTGTTGTTCATTGTTGCCTCCACTTCCGATGTATTATAACCGAGTGTCCTGGGTTCGCCTAACTGAGTGCAGCTAATGGGCAATAAACGGACAGGAGCTGAGACAACAGGTTCAGCGGCCACCGCTTCTCTCTTTATTCCGAGCAACACAGCCACACCTAACGTCGGAACCTCGCCTACCACATCCCTACAACAAAGCTGGAGGGACAATTTGTTTACAATTTAGAATTTGTTTACATTTTGTGCTGCTGAACCACCAATAAGCTTTTTGGATACTATTTAAATAAATAATAAACCTTATGGGACAACTTGGATGCATTCTCTCTTTTTTTTTCATTCTTAATGTTTTGCAAAGTATCGGATCAGACTCTGTATTGGACTCTGTTTAAAAATAAAGGACTCGCTATCGGATCAGATGCAAAAAAAATGTGATCGGGACATCCCTACCCAAAACTGGCAAAAAAATATTAATAAAAAGTCACAAGAAAACTACCCGAAAATTACCAAGAACAGTAAAGTAAAAGGACAACAATAAACAAGGAAATGACCTAATAAAAAGAGCTAAAAATTGAAAAATACATACACATATGTATTCCATAACATACGTTTAAATATATAATTATAATAATCATGAATATAGTTTGCTGGAGATTAATTCATTCGTTCGTTTACCGTAATCCTGGTTTTCAGGACATTTTCCCCCATTTTTCTTTAAATAAATTACGAGAAATTTTCTGTCTTTTTCTATTTTTAACAAGTGATTTTCAGGTCATTTTCTTTTCAGCTTTTACCAATTTCTTGTAATTTTTTCCCCAAGATATCGAAACAAAATACAACCGTTTTGCTCAGGTTTAAAAGGTTTAAATGTTTGTAAAAGGCGTCTGAGTGCAGCACAAGAAAACTGATGTTGATCCAGGTTTCAAAGGGTTAAAATGAAAACTGAAAAATGAACTGTTTCAGATTTTGATAACCAAATTGTTTCGGTCATTTTTCGAGCAACAATTCCCCAAAACTCTGTTTCTAGCTTCTCAGACATGAAGATTTGCTGCTTTTTTCTCATGAATTACCATAATTAAACCTCTCTTTATTGGATTGACAAAACAAAGGAATTTGATGATGCCACTTCAGGCAGGCTCTGTGATATTATAATGGACAGTTTTCCCTATTTTCAGATATTTTATAGCCTAAAGCAAACAATTAAGTGAAAAATAATTGGCAAACTAATTGATCATGACAATAGTCCTAGTATGTAACCATGCAAACTCAACTTTTTTTTAATTTCATATGTTTAGGAGGGCCTCACTATTATGACTTTAAGAGATGCAGAGCACTCAAAAACGTTCTTGCAAACTCACTTTTAATAAAACAAGAGTGTAAAACTGAATCCCACATGATAATGAAATCAAACCTGTGAGTTTTATAGCCGGGGCCAGTGGCAGGCAAGTCAAGAAAATCAAAGGGGTCCTGCACTTTACATCAAACACATTGTGACGGATAGACGGGACAGGGATTAACTTTGCGGCTGCCGAGAATGGCGACAGATTTCTTGGACTTCAAATGTCTCCACACTTCACCAGGAGTGAGATCAGGTTCGTCTGAAGTTGTTTACAGCTTCCATGGGCACTGGGTGTATTAATAGCCCTGGCATTTGGGGTTAAAGACCCGACAAGCAAAATGGCAAAACATTAAGAGCTTGTAAATTTACAAAGACACTGGCCAAGGTCAATGAAGACCCCACCAGTTGGTCTAGGTTACACCAGTGAGTGATGGCGAGACCAGGTAGGTATTTTCCTTCAGCTGACTGTCCTGGAGAAACTACATTAAAGGCAGAACTTGAGCCATATGAACTTTCCAGAAGCCTGCAACTTTAGGCCACATGAGGAAATTACACATTCTGTTGTTATTGTTGAGGATGCTCCAAGTCTCCTCAAACACAGGCACACATATGCAACATGAATGCTGCCTGGTGTGTAATGTTTTCCAGAGTGTGGCTAACATGGTCCCTGCCACAGAGGAACCGCAGAGGATCAGTGTGGTCGCAAGAGCTTCCCCTGCTGTGGTGGGCTTATTGGACACACTCTGCACAGGGCCAGCCCAGCTTCAATCACTGCTGGCGGGACTGTGCTGTTGCCATAACGATCAGACAGGCCCTGGTGAGATGGTTAAGAAAAAGCAGTGTCTGAAAGGACATTGTGATATTCAAGGGGACTTGATCGTTTTACTGTGTGAGAAGTTGGATCTGATTAACCTTAAAGGGACAGTTCACTCCAAAACCTAAAATACATATTTGAACTCTGAACCTTCTCTTAATGCCCTGATTGTGGTCTGAGAGACAAAATATTAATATGCACAATATTGTTTTATCACCTTGATACTTCATGTATTTCTATAATTATATTAGAATTGCTGATAATGATTTTTATTAAATTATACACCCGCATTGTTTTTGTTTTAATAATAATGGTCATTTTAATGTTTTGTCACCCTGATAACAATGTAAGCTCAGTTTGTGGTGAAGGCACAAGTTCCCACTTCAATATTTTTTTTTCTTGTAGGATATTAATAAAAATCAGAGCAAAACAATTAAAGGTAAAACTTTATTTGGATAGTCCACCTACAGATAGTTTATAGAGTATTTGCAACATTTCAACAGCTTATTAACTGAGATTCAACAATTCAACTGTTCTGCTTTGTCAGATACATTAGTACATGTGACAATTCATCAATAAATCTACATATTTTCAGAATAATTTAGTTTAACTTGAATTATTCATTCAACCTATGCAGCATAGGCAAGTGAATCATTAAAGTTCGACTAAATTACTCTGAGAATTTATCACATATACTCTTTAAATAATCTGTCAAGCAGCTACAGAATAAAGCAAAACATTTCAATTATTGAATCTCAACTAATAAGCTGCTGAAATGTTACAAATTCTCTATAAACTATCTGCAGGAGGGCTATCAAAATAAAGTGTTAACAACAATTTTAAAAAAAAAAATACAGATGTTAGGTGTGTGGGACCCATCACAATGAGGAAGTAAGGCCAAATCTTACTTAGATTAAATCACTTCAGTTAACTCAACCCTTGAAACAAAAGCTATTATTGACAGTACATAGTACACTCAGTGGCCACTTTTTTAGGTACACATGTAAAATCCAATGCAATCCAATACAACAGCTTAGCCATAAAGTCTGCCTTTACAATTATAATAGTATTGTTCTAATCCACACTGTCAAATAGATATTAATTATATGTTTATTACTAGGGTTGGAGTGTGACAGGTGTTGAAATTGACTGCATTAAATGTATGTGTTTCTAATGTTCTGCTCACCCCATATACTAACATGAAGGAGGAAACACATTTCTATGATGCAGTCCACTAAAACACTCATTACAACATCAGTAGAAGAAGAAGACATACTTTAAAAATCCATTTTTTCACTCTTCAAATACACACACATGCACAAACAGGACCTATACATGCATTAAATGGAGAGATGTCAGAGTGCCCATGGAGAGGAACCCTGAGGAGTTGAGGGTGCAGTGCCTTGCTCAGGGGCCCTTTGGCAGTGCCCAGGAGGTGATCTGGCACCTCTCCAGCTACCAGTCCACACTCCATATTTAGTGCGGGCGGGGACTTGAGCCAGGTTCCCAACCCAAGTCCCTATGGACTGAGCTACTACCACCCAAACTAGTAACGTGAGTTATTAAAGAATGAACATTATCTTAATTCAGGTGTAATGTGTGGCATAAGTGCTGTACTGGATTGCATTACACTCAATATTGTGTACTTAATAAAGTGGCCAAGTCTGAGTGCAAGATTACTGCTGAGTGATGTGGCTGAGATTTGAGAAATCATGCAACACAGGCACCACAGCCACAGCTTTGTCATTTACCAGAGAAGTGGTGATGCAAATGTTTGGGACCAGCAGCATTACCAGCAGCAGTGAAGGCATATGCAGCCCTGCCAGTATCAATATAGCTCCCAGTGGCCAAAAGGTCATGTGTTTAGTGCAGTGGGGAGCATTGCGCTAAATAAAGCTATGAGCTCAGCAAACACTGACAAGACACATGCACACTACGGGCTGCCTTCAGTGACATTAACCCAGCTAGATCTCAGACTTACATGGCCACCTCAGCACACTACTACAGACCTCTGTGGGTTTAAGGCAGCAAATCAATCAGACTTTGAGTACTTTATATGAACCTAAAGGTCACATCTTACACCAGCTGTATAATTCAGTCTGGACAGTCGTGCTGTAGACTTACAGAAACTTCTTGTAGGGCCTCACATGTTGGTGACACTCTCCCAATACCAATAAATTAAACCCATCTGCTAAATTAGCATGAACGTTAGAGGGGAAAACAAAATCACACTCAGCCGTTGGAAGCCGTTTAGCCAACTGTGAGTTAGCAAAATCTGTTTTTGATCCAAAGTATAACAAAAACGAACATGTAACTTAGCTTAACAACTGTTAAAACACCACACAAACACTTTAAAGTGTAATGAGACGTGTTATTTTTTGTATTTAAGTGGCTAAATCCGAGACAAACAACTGATAACACTCTCGGGCTGATATGCTAGTCGGTTAGCTTGCGGGCTAATAATACCTCAACAAACTCCAAACTAAGTACGAGAGACGCCTAAAAAGTCGCGGCAATTACAACACGGGAGGCTGGGTAAATAAAAGAGGACCTCCCTGCTAAACAGAGGCGGCTGATTCAGCAAAGCGGCAGCGGGAAAATGCGAAATATGTCAAATATCCCAAAACTTCCAGCGCACACGAAGCAGCGAAGCAGCTGCCGCAGCAGCAGCGTGAAAGTTGCAGCACACAACAAAGAAGTATCTGAGAGCGCACTCACCTTACAATGGCTCTGCTGCCCCGCTGCTACAGGCACACACTCCTCTCCGCACACCGGGGCTTCTAGAGCAGTTTTGCTTTGTGTATCGCGAGTAGTTTCACGGTAAAAATAATCGTGTTTGACAGAAAAAGGCGGAATGCCAAGTATGAGTTTGGTATGAAATCAACGCGCGGAGGAAAACGCACAGAGGCGTGGCGACGGAACACGCGCACACGCAAAAGTTTTGTGGGTTCCAGCGTAAACTCCTCCCATGACACCAGACTCCTGGTGGAGGAGGAGATGGGATAGGGAGACATGGCAGCGTTCATTTTACTGTTCTCTTTCAAAACTATAGGCTACATACAACCTTTATACAGTTTAGTTATGCTGCTGTAACATGCTCTTATAATGGTGATATGATGATATTCAGCTTTTATTGTACAAAGGCTACTGTCTAGCATGTAACTAAATTTACTACACACGTTATATTTTGAGTTTTTTTTAATAAACTAAAATACTGTAAAGGCATCCATCAGTTATTATGTTAACATGTTACAGGCTATGAAAAACATATTAAGTTCTGTAACTACTGAGATCTGATTTATAATATCCAATCATGAAAATATGATGATGATAATAATAATAATAATAATAATAATAATAATAATATATTTTATTTATCAGCGCCTTTCAAGACACTCAAGGTCACTGTATAGAGAATAAATAAATAAAAACAACACAGCAACAATAATAAAACATTAAGAAGTTAGTAGCAGGCAATGACATTTAGCAGTGATAGGCTTGTTCAAACAGATATGTTTTGAGGTTGTATTTGAAAGTGTCCAGGGATTGAATATTTTGGATATCAGGTGGGAGGGAGATCCAGAGGTGGGGAGCAGAGCGGCTGAAGGCTCTGGACCACATGGTGGTCAGGCGGGCTGAAGGGACAGTGAGGCTGATTGTATGGGAAGCCAGTGGAGTTGATGGAGGACAGGAGTGATGTGCTGGATAGATGGTGTTCTGGTGATGATCCAGGCGGCAGCATTTTGGACCAGTTGAAGTTTATGGATAGATTTGAGGGGGAGACCAGTGAGAAGGGCGTTGCAATAATCCAGGCAAGAGGTGACAAGGGAGTGGACCAGCTGGGTGTGAGGGAGGGACGAAGTCGGTTGATATTGCGAAGATGGAAATATGCAGTCCAGGTGACGTTATTGATATGGGTTTGGAATGATAGAGTACTGTCCAGGATGACACCCAGACTCTTAACCTGAGAGGAGGGGGAAACAGTGGTGTTGTCTATGGAGATGGAGAAACTGCTAGCTTTTGTGAGGGTGGACGTAGAACCAATGAGTAGAACCTCTGTTTTATCACTATTCAGTCTGAGGAAGTTGACGGAGAACCAGGATTTGATGTTCTGTAAACAGACACAGAGGGAGGTGGGCGGGAGGATGGAGGTGGGTTTGGTGGGTGTCATCCGTATAGCAGTGAAACTGTATATTGTGTTTTTGAAAAATATGGCCAAGGCAGAGGAGATAGATAATGAAGAGGAGGGGACCGAGGACAGAGCCCTGGGGAACACCGGAGGAGAGGGGAGATGGCTGGGACGTGAAGGATTTTAACTGAATGAACTGGGTGCGGCCAGTGAGATATGATTTAAATCAGTCGAGGGGGTGTGTTGGATATTCCAATGGATGCCAGTCTGTCGAGGAGGATGGAGTGGGAGATGGTGTCGAAGGCTGCACTCAAGTCGAGGAGGATGAGGATGGATAAAACCATGAAAGTATATGTGCATTTGACTGAATTAAAGACACAACGACCATTTTCTAAAGTAATTATTTTGGGGGAAAATACTTGCAATGGAGGTTGTTTAGATAATGTGTGCAGCATTTATTCATTCATTCATTCATCTTCTAACCGTTTCATCCTCTTGAGGGTCGCAGGGGGGCTGGAGCCTATCCCAGCTGGCATCGGGCGAGAGGCGGGGTACACCCTGGACAGGTCGCCAGACTATCGCAGGGCTGACACAGAGAGACAAACAACCATTCACGCTCACATTCACACCTATGGACAATTTAGAGTTATCAATTAACCTAGTCCCCAATCTGCATGTCTTTGGACTGTGGGAGGAAGCCGGAGTGCCCAGAGAGAACCCACGCTGACACGGGGAGAACATGCAAACTCCGCACAGAAGGGCTCCCACACCCGGGATCGAACCGGCAACCCTCTTGCTGTGAGGCGACAGTGCTAACCACCACACCACCGTGCTGCCCTGTGCAGCATTTAATGAATTAAAAATTAAAATGTGATCATATTTCTATAGTGGATCAAGTAACGTTAATACTGTATATCTTGGAGAGTGGAGTCATATGTGAGGGGCCCAATGTTATTTGCTTTCTAGTGTGGCTTAGGACAGGAGTGGGCAACCTGTGGCTCTTTAGCCCCTCTCCAGTGGCTCCCTTTGGCTTTGACAGAAACTGCTATAGAATGAAAACCCTCTGTTGTAGGCCTCAAGTGATTCTTACATTCTTCAGCTGTAAAAATGTGTGGCTTATACACCAACTCAAAAAAATGTTGGCAGTGCATTTCGTCAGCTAAAATGTGCGTCACACGTCTGGCCTTGAGTCTTGAGTCTTCGTAGCTAGGTTAGCTGTGGATTTTAGAAGTGCATGGACAACTGTATTTGCTTTTATCAGCAATGCTGCAAAGTTTAAGTACCAAATAATCAGAAATAGCTCACTGTAGAGTAGCCACCTTGTGCTAAAACATATGTAACCATAATGACTGCAAACATTATATTTATGGGTTATTTCTATTACTTAAGTTAGAGTGTTATTTATGAATGGGTACATTATTTATATTTAAGTAGTGATGGATTCAGCATTATTGAGTTACTGTTAAGTTATTATTTAATTGAGATTCATTATACTTTGTATATTGTTTCATTTGTGTTTTCATGTGCAGTGTTTAAGTGGAGTCATTGTGTTCCCTTGGTTATGAGCTAATTGGTTCCTACCTGCCCTTGTGTTGTGGGGACAGGTATGAGTGATACACGAGAAAGAGTGAGTGTCTAGCGCATAACGCTGAAGAGAAGTTACTGTACCCCTAAGCTGGAATGTGTTAGTACTGTCTTGCCGTGTTGGTAATAAATAAACGAAGAGGTACTAACAAATGTTGTAGCCCGCTTATTACCCACAAACTGGAAGAACTGGGGAACACCAACAATCAAGAAAAGAGGGTTACAATCAGATGCTCAGCCTGCTTTGCCTGGGGGCCACTTTTGCAAAATGACAGGAATTTGGGGGGCCAGTTAACAAACAACGTTTACCAGTAGCCTATAGCTATATAATGAATTAAGTGCCTGTTTTCAACCTTTTGATGTTTGCTGTCCTCACTCATCCTTTAAACAGGTGGCTTGTGGGTCTTTCGCCACAAAACTCTGAGCACCAAACACTTAACCTACTGTGTTTGGTATGCAGACTCCCGCACACTGTCTAACTTGCAAAAATGATGATTTTGATTGACTTGGTGGGGCGGAGTGTAATTTGACTATTGTCTGGTATATCTTGATGTCATTTTTACTGTGACATTGTGGAGACCTTGTTGCATTTATTGTTAAGTTTCCTATTTGTGTATTGATGCTCATTCTAGATGTAAACACACCCCTATAGGTTTACTTTTTAATGTACCTTCTAGATTTGAATATGTATGTTTTTAGAGAATGCAAGTTAAGAATAAGGACTAATTTTACATCTCTATTCCTCTATTTCTGTGTATGTTGTTGATTGTTACACTAATTGATGTTTGGTATTAAGCCTTTCCACTGCAAGTGGGTGATGTGACTAATTGCACACTCACAGCCTTTGTTATAAAACTGTTTGCCTGATGAAAGTCTAGTCACTGAAATGTTGCAGCATTAAAATCATTATTTTTGCAAGTTAGACAGTGTGCGGGAGTCTTTTCTACAAGTTTTATTCTTCTCGTCCCTCTCCTACGCACCTGTTTGGAAATAGATATGCAAAATATTCCCATTGTCCTCAAATGGGACAACAATAATGTCCCAGTATCTTCAAACAGGAACTTCCTAATTAACAATTCTAGCTTGTTACTGTTGATAAAATCCTTCAAATTCATTGCTATGAATGAGGACAACAGGTCTTAAGTTAAGTATAAGGTCTAGCAAACCCAAAATGTGATGTCCTCATATGAGGAAACAGGGTCTCAGGAGGTTATAACTGTAGTCTGGTGAATCAGTGAAATCAGTTTATGGTGTAAATAAATATCATTAATTTTGTCAAAATAAAAATCCCCTGCTCAGTGGCATAAGGCAGTTACAATGCACCCCAGTGTATGCTATTATGATGGGTCCTAGTGCATGCTATTGTGCACATATCATCTTGTCACATGATCAGACAGAGACTCAACACTGGACAGCATCACATATGCATTACCCAGTATTCATCTTTGCATCTGAATATGACAAAAAATACCAAAGAAAATAAGAAATTATTCATTTGATTTAACCCCCTCATAGTTCATTTACAGTTTGTGTAGAATAAGCATATAAGTTTGTTATAGATCCTACTGACTATTTTATAAAAAAACAGATGGTATTTCCTTTTCTCAAGAGTTTATATTGCAAATGGCACATTTTTGAATTTTGTTAGAGTTCTTCTTTGAACATAGGTATATTTCTAAGGTGGTCTGTCTGGTGGGCTCTGAGGGATCCTCATTTTCCTTCCTCCCACATTTTTTTTTCTGATAAAAAAAAAAGCTATTTGGTTGTTTTTACACACTCTTGCACTGTATTTACATGTTAAGTACAAACAAATCCCAATGTGAATCAGTTGTTTAAAAAAAAAAAAAAGAAAAAAAAGAAAATGGTCGGTGGGCCACTTGTCACCCTATTGCAGGCCAGATTCTGCCCACTGGCCCCAAGTGGAGTATCACTGCTGTATATGCACTGATATTGTCTCTCTGACAGGAGGAGGACATAATAAAAATAGTTATTACAAGTTAAAGTTCTACAGTCAAAATATTACTTAAGGAACAGCACTGAGGCATTATAAGCAACATTTAGCCGATTTAAGTTTTCAAAAGTAAAAGTACTCAAACAGAAACACTCCTTTCATCGTGTTAATTAATGGCATATTATGGCCTACTATTGGATTACATACTTGATACTGTAATTTGTTGATGTGTAGCCAATTTTTTG